TGGCCGAAAACAATCGTCGCTTTGGCATGAATAGCAATAGCAGTGTGAATAGCATTGAAAATTATTTTCAAAAAATATTTTGATATAAATTAAAGCAATTGCCCCTGATGTTGCAGGATGCATAAACAAATTGTTTGAGGCAGTTGGTTGTTGTTATTAATACTGTTGTTGCAGCTCTTTCAATATACACACGAACACACTCGGCACACAAACAAATTGCACTTGACAGCTGCATTTGTTGCAAATTATGAACACAATTTTTGCAATTTTAGCAATTTTTTACATTTCTTTCATAAAGGCACTCAGTTGTTTGTTGTATTTATTGTTGCTGCTGATGTTGAGGCTGCACGGCGGCGACGTCCGAAGCCAGCACCTCCATTCGCTTGCAAGTTGTCGTTGCGACTGAGCTTTCGTACGACAAGTCCGCAGCGAACAAGTGTCGGTTGCCAGAAGCTCGCCGCAGCGACGTCGACGATGACGGTGACGCCGACGCGCATTTCCAGTTTACAGTTTGATCTTGCTTAGCCAGCCAACAACAGCACGGTTCGCCGCATGTTGAAATGTTGAATTCGCCGCAGCGCGTACGCTGTGCGTGTGCGCCCAATTGACAGCTCATACAGTAATATAGACGAATACACACACAGACTCACACACATACATTTGAACAATTGAAATTTGTGTGTATGTATATGTGTATATGCAATAAAAAATATAAAAACAATAAATAGCGGAAATACGGCAATGTTTTGACAGTTGAGTATAATTTATATACCCTGTACCCAAAAATGGGTAAGTCAGAGTTTAATTTAGTAGTCCGGAGTGTATGTAACAATACGAAGAGAGCATCTCCCCCACTCCTTAATATATAGTATTCATGTTCTTGTATAATTTGTTTCTTTTGTATATTGATTTTGTATTAAAGGTTCATTCACGAACCCCAAAGAAAACCAGGTTTCGGACGTTTTCGATTTGAAAATTTAATCCTTCAGAAAATTTGGTATTCAAGTTTTGTATATTCATAAATTGTCTTTAATTTCTAATCAACTTTTTATATCTATGTAATATTTAATTTTGATATTTTTTGGATAACTCATTTTTTAATACTTCCGCGTTGCAAGATACTGCATGAATAATGAGCGGAGCCAAGCCGCTGTTTAAGCAATTAATCTGGGTACTTGTGAGCACTTGGTAAGCGGGTTTTATTGCAAAATGAAAAGGTTAATAAACAAGGCGACTGCTGCGCATGAATTCCAGAAGTTTACGACAAAGAAAGCGACACAGCTAGTGGCAAATAAATTACAAAATGCGACACTGATTAAGCCAAACGCAGCCAAGACTCCAAAGCGGGGAAGAGTAGGAGATGCCGATGCTGTTGCTGCGTCCGTGGCTGAGGCCATGCCTAAAAAGGCCAAGCCAAGTTTATAAAAATAACAAAATAAAACAATAATAAATGCGACAACGTCGCACCTCAGACGTTGTCTGTGCTGCGTTGTCGTTGTTTTGAGTAATATGCAAATATGTTTTAAATACGCCAGCGAATAAATTAAAGCAACTGCAGCAAGGAAATGCAACGGGCAGGACACACGCCCACGCAACGAAGCCTCCCCGAAAACTCTGAAGCGGGTTAATTGCAGTTGGCACAAAGAAATCGCAGTCACTGCATAAATTCACAGTAAGCTGACTAAGTCAAGAGGCGAGCCTGTAGCTTCCCCTTCACAGAATGACTGGCCCAAAAACTCAACTTGTGACACTTACAGGAACACGAGAGTTTCACCTGCCTTATACGGGCAAATGTTTAAATTGAGGCTCTCTTGCAATGGGACTACTTGACGTTGCTTTTTAATGCCTCGATCGTTAAAGAAACGATCATTAAAAAGCCATTGAAAAGAAAAAGCCAACACTGCAGGAGTCGAAGCGTGGGCAGGACATTGTTATGAATTTGAGTCAGACGAAGCACGCTCCATATAGATTTTTGCTGATAAGACTACGTAATCAGCCCTGGAGCGTCTTACGTAGCAGAAGCAGGAATTATTAATCAATAAATCAATGAACAATAGGAAAAGAAATTATCATTATCAGTTATATGTGTCTATTTAGCGAAAAAATAGTTAGGGTCAACGGATAGAATAATTAAAAGATATATATGTGAATATAGCATGATTCCATCACTCACATAATATTTATGTAGTTTAAATGTTGTGTAATCACAACGTTTATCTTTAAGTGGAAGAATAAATATTACGTTATCCTTCATGTTGTTTAATTATATAAACAAATTTTAGCGTTTAGAAAAACCCCTATTGGAAAAGTAAGACAGCAGATTGTGTATAGAGCAACGACAGAGGACTGATCTAAATATAAATGAGTATTCAGTCTATGGCTAACCCTCTCTGCAAAGTTATACAAAATATAATAGATAATATAATTTACTTCTTAACTGAACTACTTACGTTGGCTCCTTGGATATATGAGATGTGTTCGCATCAATTTCATGCCTCCGTCGCTTGGCCGCCGATCTGGTGTGATGTGTCTTGGTTAGCCGTGGACTAATTATAAAGAACAAAATGCCAACGATATTATAATGCAAGCGAAATAATGACTAATTTTTTTTGGCTAAGCATATGGCTGCTGCTCATTGAGCAATATTTGCCCCTGGTAACATACATATATGCTCTATATATATATACATTCTGAGTAGAAATATGCAACTTACGGCGACGGTGCTTCAGCTAAGGGTGGCGATAGATCGCCAGTATCAACCCGTCTACGTTTGTCTCGTGTGCCGGCTGAGGAGCGATCCCTCGAGTGATGGCGTCGCCTAGTTCGTGGCATCTATAAAGTGAAGCGAAAAACAAATATATAAATATACATATACAGTTATTCACATGCGCATAGTGTTTTAAATACACAAGAATTGTGACTACGTCACAAACGCAATTCAGGCGCAGCACGGCAAGGCATAGTATTTTACATTAGCTCAAACGAAAGGCAAATGTAAGTGCCAGTGTGAGTGTCTGTATTTCATTTACAATGCTGATGCGATTGTAGCAGTGTGTGTGCGATTGTGCTTCGTATGCATGTGTGTGTGTGTGTGGGGGGGGGGCTTCAGTTCAGCATGTACTTTGGGCAACAGTCAGGGGGGTAAGGCATAGCATACCTTTAACGCTTGATATTTCGTTGCTTTTTGTTAATGGAGCACGCTAAACTTGTTTTGCTGTTGCAGCTAAATCCCAAATCAGCGCGAAAATTGATTTTTGTGTGTATTGTCTTATGTTGTTGTTGGCCGCTTTGCAAAGCGTCTGTCGAATTTACGCAGTCGCCTGTTTTGCTTTCTGACTACTTTTGGCAGGCATATGTTAACTGCAGCACTGCACTTACAGACTCTTTTGGTGTTTTAGAACCTAGCCTAGGCACAAAAACACGCTTATCACTTTACAAATGTGATTTTCTTTTTATGAAAATCGTGTTTTTTCTACACATATTTCATGTCACTTTCATTAAATTCACCACGTCTGCTGAGAGCTACCATCTTGGCGTACTAAATGGCTGGTGCTGCCAACGCACGCAAAATAAATGCATCAATAGTAAAATACAGATTCTAGTATTTCTTCTATCTGGCGGTCATTATTTAAATGCATTTTTTCTATGTAATGTTTTCGTACAAATTGATTTTTGTATCCATTTCAATAAATTATAATTTACTAATTTATTATAAAGTGTGGCAACACCACTGCAGCTGAATGTTCAGCGCGCTTTGCAAAACAGCCGCTCGCTTGTCCATATTGGTTGTTTTTTGTTTTTGCCTTGGATATCGGCTAAGCTAGCAGGTAGCTACAACGGTTCACACACACATGCGTATGGATGTTTGTATGCGAAAGAAAATTGGTGTACGTTTATCATTATCTTACCTCTTCTTCTTTTTGAGTTATTGCTAGGTTTTCAACTGGCTGTGGTGCTGCTATTGCTAGAAACGGTGATCGCGGCAAATATAAACGATTCCACAATCCACCAACTACCCGATTCAGCAATTGCCAAGATTGATATGCCTTTTGAGAGATGCTTGAGTTCATTAGAATACGACTTCCCAAATAAACAAGATAAACGAAAACAAAATTGCACTTGTTCCACTTTTTAGGTTGCGTCCGATTTGTTATTGTAATATTTGGCGCGATTCTTCGGTTTGCCGTTGTTGCCGACTAAGTCGGGCAGCTTGCTATCTTTTCACAAAAGCTAAAAGCATTGTACAACTTTCGATTCAAAATCTACACTCTTTTATGATAACAAAAGCAAAGTCTACTGTAATTAAGACGTTTAAAAAATTGAATTGCTACCAAGCCAAGCGCGTCAGCAGCTGACTTGCTCAGTTCCTAGCACGACAGCGTTGCCACAATATTTCTAAGAATGGCTAGAAGTGCCAGTGTTAGTGAACAAGTGGAAGGCGTTGCCACTGTGTATGATTTTAAATTTATCAGCTGTCGTGCAATGCGCGCGCGCTCCCGTTTTTTCTTATTGGCGCCTAACGAAAATACTGGCAATTCAATTGCATAACAATACAAAGCATAACGGTATCGTTATCGTCCTCAGTCAGATATTGACGTGCTTACGCCAACGTGCGCTGCGAAGCCTGCTCCCGCCTTGTAGTATTTTCCGTGTCCGCAACGAAATCAAAAAAAAAAAAAAAATAATTAGACTATTAAAAATTCACGAAGAAATCAACATTGAGGCGCGTCTAATGGTTGAATAATTAAACGAGTGTCTGCCAAACGGTATGCCGCGCCCACATCAAAGCCGTAAAAGCCACCAACTTAGTCAAAGTTCATAGCAGCAGCTATACCAAAAGTTATCCAAAACGTGTTCACACCCACCCGCGCCCCGCCCACACGCTTCCAAACGAAGTTTCTGCAGCAGCTGCATTGCGGTCTGAATGCATGCAAAATTTTGTTGCGCTTATTGGCCATTTTGTTGCCATTAAATTGCATTGAACGAAATTAACATTTATTTTTTGAACGAGGCGCATGCCAGTTGTAAGTATAGCCTATCGATTTTTACTAAAGAGGCAGCAACCTGCAAGTCGCGTGATTCACAATAAATATTCACTTTCGGCCACCTAACAAAATAGTCCGTGTCTGCAAAAATAAAAGAAGAAGCATTCGAAAACACAATCTATGTCTGTATGTGCATACATATGTGTACATACGTATGGCCGCAAATCCTTTTTTGGGTCACGAGGCAGCTGGGCCTGTGTGTTGACATTGTCCTGGTCTCTTTTTCGTATATAAGCACGTGCTTTTTTGGCACAGGACAACGAGGCGTATACGTAACACATAAAAGGCCGATTGTGTGTGCGCGCACGCTAGTGTGCGTGTGTGTGTGGGTGTGTATGTATGCGATTGCGAGGATAACGGAGAGAGAGAGAGAGAGAGAGAGAGGAGGGAGGGAGAGAGGGCGAATGATTGGGGGATTGCATGAGTTTTATGTGAAGCGTTTTTATAGCACTGCGCCCTAGTTAATAATTCATGACGTGAACTTTTGATTTCAGTTGCTGTTGCCGCCAATTTATAGAACCGGCAATTGAACGCGCTTATACTTGGAGCATGGACACTGCTGCCGCTGCCGCTGCTGCCGTTGTTGTTGACCTGAGCACCGAGCCGGTCAGCAAGTCCACTGCTAGCAAGCTGATCAGCAAGCCCAAAGTAAAGCCGGCGTCTAGCTACGTGCCGGCAGCTGTTGCGACCGCTGCGCCAGCTCCATGCAACGTGAGCTCTGAGCACGATATTCCCAATTGCCTGGGCAGCACCGTCGAGTCAATGTCTGCCACGCCGCCGACAACGCCGGCGCGCATTCGTGGCATCAGTCATGATGTTGCCGATGGCCTAGCCGGCAGCACCGGCAATGGCGAGCCATATGCGGCGCATGGCATGGTCATGAACGGTCTCAAGGACTTGCCCGGTGGCGAGGTCGGACATGCGGAGTATCTAACGTCAGCACTGGCGTCATTAAACACCACAACATTAACGTCTTCCACGAACGCTTCCACAACGCCAATGTCTGCCTTGCTTACAGCACCACCAACAGCAACAACAACAGCACCAGCACCAGCAACAACAACTCCGACAGCAGCAGCAACAATAACAGCGACGGCAACTACCACAACTGCATCCGTCATTTCAGCTGCAACCACAACAGCAGCTACAACAGCCACCCTAGCAACAGGCAGCAGCGCAACGATGACATCGGCCAACATGGATCAGCTGCTCCACTGGCAGGACATGCCCAAATACCTGCAGTTCAATCCGTATGTCCTCAAAGGATACCGTCCGCTGCAGACCTTCAAGGGCTGCCTGCTCAGTCTCTTCTATTGGCACAACGAGACCATCAACATACTGACGCACGGTAAGTGTTACGAATCTCTCCACGCACCCCACCGCGCCACCTTGCCACATAGCACGGCTGTTGCTCATTTATCGACCCGTCTCAATGCCATTAACAATCACGGTCAAAGCCAAGTGCAAGCGCATAATGCACATAAATAGATTGCCCCAACCGACCTTTCTTACGACCCACAAGCGACACTGTGTAACAGAAGGAATTGCTAAATAATTGGTTTTACAGTTACACAGGTATGTGTCTCCAGGTAGTCCACACATGCATACACCTGTGCATAATAATGAAGCACCAACTCACATTCATTCGACTGTATTAAAACAATTATAAACGACACGTGGTTGATTATATTTATTATTGTTAAATGCAATTTCATGTAAATATAGAAAAAGCATGAAGAGGTCACTAGAGATAGAGATAGAGATAGAAATAGAGATAGAGATAGAGATAGAGATAGAGATAGAGATAGAGATAGAGATAGAGATAGAGATAGAGATAGAGATAGAGATAGAGATAGAGATAGAGATAGAGATAGAGATAGAGATAGAGATAGAGATAGAGATAGAGATAGAGATAGAGATAGAGATAGAGATAGAAGATAGAGATAGAGATAGAGATAGAGATAGAGATCGAGATAGCGCTCGCGCTCGCGCTCGCGCTCGCGATCGCGCTCGCGCTCGCGCTCGCGCTCGCGCTCGAGCTCGCGCTCGCGCTCGCGCATAGCGCTCGCGCTCGCGCTCGCGCTCGCGCCTCGCGCTCGCGCTCGCCGCTCGCGCTCGCGCTAGCGCTCGCTCGCGCTCGCGCTCGCGCTCGCGCTCGCGCTCGCGCTCGCGCTCGCGCTCGCGCTCGCGCTCGCGCTCGCGCTCGCGCTCGCGCTCGCGCTCGCGCTCGCGCTCGCGCTCGCGCTCGCGCTCGCGCTCGCGCTCGCGCTCGCGCTCGCGCTCGCTCGCGCTCGCGCTCGCGCTCGCGCTCGCCGCTCGCGCTCGCGCTCCGCTCGCGCTCGCGCTCGCGCTCGCGCATCGCGCTCGCGCTCTCGCTCGCGCTCGCGCTCGCGCTCGCGCTCGCGCTCGCGCTCGCGCTCGCGCTCGCGCTCGCGCTCGCGCTCGCGCTCGCGCTCCGCTCCGCGCTCGCGCTCGCGCTCGCGCTTCGCTTGGGCCTCTCCCCGCTCGCGCCCTCCCCCTCCTTTCTTTTCTCTGCTCTCTCTTTCTCCTTCGCCTTCCCTCCTCCCTTCTCGTTCGTCCTTTTTCTCCCGGGCTCCGCGCCTTTTCTTTCCTCTACCTGTTCTGCAATGGGGCTTACAGTTGGAGCTTTGGATTCTAGTAAATTTTACATTTTTTGAGGGGGTTCATGGGCGTGCCGGCGTCACATTGAAACTCCTTGGCAAAGTCATCGAAATTCGAGAGCGGCCCGATCACCCGCAGTTCGCCGGGCACATGTTGATCGACGGATATCTGTAGACTGCGCACACGGGTGTGAGCATCGTTGCACCAGATCTGTGCGTAGCTGATGAAGAACAGTTGCATGTTGGTGTAGTTCAGGGTGGGGAGCTTCTCCTTGAGCAGCTGCCGCCGGCCCTCGACGGTGAGCTCCAGAGTGCTTTGCAGATTGCGGTAGGCGGCATATGCCAGGCGCACACCGCCATTGTCCGCAATGTTCTCCGACTGAGACTTGGACTTGGGCAGCCGGATGCCATGGTAGACGTACTGGCTGTACTGCTCCGAAAAGCAGCGCTGCCTCGTTACGAAGTTGCTCGTCGACTGCTCGTCCCACCAGTCGTTGATGTTGCCGCGTGCATCGAACTTGCGGCCGGTGTCGTCGAAGCCGTGGATCAGCTCATGGCCAATCAAAGAGGCCAGCGTGCCGAACTTAATGGCATTCGGATAGCTGGCGGCCCACAGATAATACGGCTGCAGCAGCGATACCGGCACCTTGATCATGTTCTCCACTAGAATATTGGCCGGCGTATAGCTAAGCAGATCGCCCGCCTCCAGCGGCTTGACTGGCTTGTGCAGCTGCTCGCGCGCTTGCATCGCGGCCAGCATCCGGGTCTGGCGCAGATTCTCAACATAGTCCTCGCTCTGCAGCCGCAGTCCGGCAAAATCCTCGGTCAAGTTTTCCTTGGCATGCGAGTTCACCTCGAGCGTCATTGCCGACAGTTTTTCGATGGCAAATTCGCGTGTCTGTCGGCTGATCCATTTTAGGGACTCGTCGGACTGCAGGGTCTGTTCGAAGGTGGACTTCAGCTGATCCCAGATCAGCTCAATGTCGGAGGCTGTGTCATTGTTGTTGTAGCGCCGAAAGATCATGTTGTCCAGATTCTTGGCAAAGTTCTGCTTGGTCAGCGTTATGCACTTCTCCTGCCGTTTGGCCAGCGTCTTGCCCGGTTCCATGATGAACTCATCGATCAAGCGAAAGAATATATAATTGGCTACAATGCGCTTGGACGTGCGCTTGATCACACTCAGCATATTCTCTTGATACTGCGGATTGAAGTTGTAGACATTGTCCTTGATTTGCTCGCCTAGCGATATGTTGACCAAGCGCTCCACGTTCAAGTCGGGTCCGTAGCTTTGCTGCATTTCGGCGATGGTTGACAGCTGCGCGATGTCGGGGAGGTCCAGGCCATCTGCCATATTGATCAGCCCGCGAGCCAGCTCCACCTCAAAATCCAGCAGTTCAGAGGCCAACAAATGCGACTTCAAGCGCGTTAAGCCCAAAAAGTTCTTCACTTTGTTCGCTATGTTGGTCTGATAGTTGTGTCTGTAGATGGCTGTGCTGTTGTCTAGGTACATGCTGCGCGTTTCCAGCGGAAATTCCTGCTGGCCAATGTAGGCCATGTTCACCTCGTTGTTGGCAAAGTCCTTGGTCACCTCAACGCCCAGTATGATGACGATGCCGTAGCGATAGGCGATGCGCGCCACTGTCTCCAGCCAGTCGAACTCCGTTTCCTGCCAGTCAGCAACGGGCACCAGCGCCGGCATCGTGCCGAACTCGGCTATCAAATCCTTCATCTTCTGTCGATAGTTGCTGTCCACGCTGCGCACCTCAATGCAGGAGCGATAAAAGTTTCTCACCTGCACATCCTCCTCAGTGTCGAGGTCGTCGCTTTCGCTGTTCAGCGTTTGCTTCACCTTGCGATTGAGTCCGTCTGTCAGGCGTTCGAATAGGCCCGTTGATACCTTATTCAATGTGGTCGCCGGATTGATGCGCGCCCAGTTGCCGCAGGCAAACTCATAGAAGTTCTGACACGGATCGACGTTCTCGTTCATGAAGCTGGCAATTTCCGCTGCCTTGGCCTGTTGCATCACCTCATCAATGTAGCCAGCAGCCAGCTTGCTGCCGCCTATCAAATCCGCACGGCCAACCGCTGCTCGGCAGCCGCAGTGCAACCGGAGCAATATCAGCAGTCCGTAAAACAAAAGCCGTAGATGGTGATTTCCACGGAACCGCAACGTTTCCATCGTGTTGTTATTTATTGTAATTCTTATTGTTGACTGAGCGCATTAGCTTTAGGTTTTATAAGTCTCGAGTCCAGCTGTGAGCACACACACACACACAAATACACACACACACACACACACACTTGTTACGTCGGCGATAAATGAGAGCAAAGCAGGCCGAGCTTTGATGCGACCCCGTTTGGGTTATCTCTTTCAGTACAATTGAGATCCACAATCACAAAGCAGCCGCCCAAACAATTTGCAAGTCTCCAAGTATATATTTGTATATATTTTTATAATATGTACTTACCCACGCCAATTTCCTGCAACTATGAGTCGAGAAAGCTTTTACTATAACTCATCCAGAGCTAATTTCCTCTCGAAACTGATTTGATTCTCAGATTTACTTGGCATTTCAATCAGCTTCCCGTGATGTTCAATCATTACTTAACGAAAACAATATATTATTTCCTTATATTACATATTATTGTAATACAATAATCTAGCAAAAACCTACTTTTTGACTGAGCATCGTTTGGAAAGACCTAATCTATTATCACAGCTAAAAACTGAACGAACAAATTGCATGCTTAATCTAACGAGTGGCTGTCAAAGTTAACAAACAGCTTAGCAGCAAGATACAGTTGATGTCATAATGTGCTTGTCAAGCTAAACAATCAGTTTGACACAGTCATGAAACGAGTTTTATAGTCTTAATAATAATTTGTAATTGTAAATGAAATATTTACGACCTCAAGGATTTGACAAGTAGTTAAAAAAGAGGCTTAACTATCAGTTAAATTACATTTCATATTGCACATTCAATAATTCGAATTCAAATAGTCGAAATAAAAGTATTTACTAGACAAACAGACCATAGATATTCATCTGGAATGCCAAACAATAGAATGGGCTGACGAGTAGAGATTATATAAGAAAAGTTTTATTATTAGAATTCATTGGGCACAATGCAATTAATGGGCATAAAATACAGAGAGAGGCGACGTGAGCTGTGACCCAATCACGCTGCCCTCGCTATGGCACTATTTTTATACAGACCAATGACCAGTCATAGGCGATAAGGAAAAGCTCTCAGCTGAACGGCGCTGGAGCTGCTGGCTGAAAGTGCGTTGCGGAAGGCGATTCAGTTGCTCTTTAGCCATGAGACGCGTGTGGTTCGGTGCGCTGTCTGCTGCTCTGCTCTCGCTGTGCCTGAGTTGTGTGGCCGGGCACTTGCTGTCGCTGCCAGAGCTGGACACACAGATACAGCTGCAGGAGCAGCTGATATCGCAGCACAACGACAGCGCCTATGTGCAGCGCGTGATGCGGCTGGCCAAGTCGGCGGAGATGCGCAGCTATATGCAGCCGCAGCTGGATGCCTGTGAGGATTTCTTTGCCTACAGCTGCGGCAACTGGCCCAAAATCAATCCAGCCCATGCGGCCCAGCCACGTGAGACCAACTACCAGCAGCTGCTGGCCAACGGCTACCGGCACAAGCAGCAGCGCCTGCTGGAGCAGCCGGCCGACGAGGACAGCGACGACTTAGCTGTGCTCAAGCTGAAGCAATTGTATGCCAGCTGCCTACGCTACCGGCAGACGCCTCTGCCGCTCTATCGCCAGCAGCTGCAGGAGATTGCTGCTGCATTTGGACGCATGCCTGCACTGGCGCTGCCCGGCCAGCTTTGGCCAGCCGAGGCCTTTGACTGGCTGGCCACTGTGGCGCAGATCAAGGGCACATATGGACTGGATATACTGCTACTGCTACAGCAGGCGCCAGAGCTGCAGAACCAGACTCGGAGGCGCCTCTATGTGGGTCAGCCGCCACGCTCAGCTGTGGAAGCGCCACACGAGGTTGCTGCTCAGCTAGAGCAGCATTTGGGCTTGGAGGCGTCGCTGGCGCGTCAGACAGCGCAGCAAATTGTTGAGCTGGAATCGTTGCTCGCCAAGGGCATGTCCAGTCGTCCATTGGGTGTGCTGACCGAGCAGCGTTCCCCTGCTGAGCTGGCCAATGCCTATGCGCCCACATTCAACCTCACGCACTACGTTGAACTGGTGCTCCAGCGTCCATTGCAGCCGGACGAGCTGCTATACGAGCATGTGGACAGCTACCAGGCGCACTTGCTGGTCGTCTTGGCTCAAACGCCGCCCCAAGCGCTGGCCAATTACATTTTCCATAAGCTGCTGCAGCACTTCTACTACGATCGCTCGGCGCCAGTTGTGGCCCGGTGCATGGACAGCGCCACGCAGCTGTTCCCGGAGCTGCTCACCAACATGGCCTATCGTCAATATGGCGCCGCGTCCACCCTGGACGACATCGACGCCGTCTGGCAGCAGATCAAGCGCAGCTTCTATAACCTGCTCGAACACAGCAACAGCACCGAGTGGCTGTCCCTGGACACGCGTCGCCTGGTGCTGGATCAAGTGAATGCCACGCGGCTGCTGGTCAATGGATATGCGCATTTGAATTTCACGGAGCGCTACAAGTCGCTGGAGCTGAAGCCGCATGATTTCCTGTTCAATCTGGGCGCTGTGCTCAGTCAGAGAAGTGCGCTGGAGCCGCCGGCTGTGGTGCCCACTGGGCCCGCATACGATCCTCTGGAGAACCAGGTGCTGTTGCCAGTCGCCCTGCTGCAGCCCAATTTTTTGTGGTCCCGTTTCTATCCACGTGCTCTGCGCTACGGCAGCTTGGGCACGATTATGGCCGAGCAGCTGGCTCACAGCCTGGACACACGCGACGCCTGGGATGCAGCAACGCTGGCTGAGTTTGGCAAGCGCAAGTCCTGCTATCGGCACCAGTACGAACGGCTGCGCTACGCCGGTAACTATCTGCCATCCAGCGAGCTGCAGGACAACAATATGGCAGACAATGCGGCCATACAGCTGGCATATCTGGGCTACAGGCGCTACTTGGCCAATCTGGCGACGACTGCCTTGACAACGGAGCAGCTGCCTTCGCTGAGCCACAGTCCGGAGCAGCTGTTCTTCATCAGCTATGCCCAGCTGTGGTGCAACGATGCCAACGAGCAGTTCCGGGACAAGCAGTCGCTGCTGCTCACTGGAACGCCCAATGCGCTGCGCGTGCAGGGCGCCTTGGCCAACTTGGCGGACTTCGCCAGGGTCTTCGGCTGTGCCCGCGAATCGCCCATGAATCCCGAACAGAGATGCCTGCTGTACGGCAAAAGTGTAAATTAATAAAGCTAGCGTTTCATTTTATTAGTGGCCTACAGCTAGGGATTAACATTTCAGAGCAGCTGGCTTAGTATACGGCGCACTTGAACTCTGGATCCATGGGCGCCTGCTGCGAGCAGTTGTAGACCCAGGAGAACTCCTGGAAATTGGACAATGGTCCAATGACGCGATACATGCCGGGCGCATGGTCATCCGACGTGGCCACGGACGTCTTGAACAAGGACTGGACATCGTCACACCAGAGCTGGGCATAGCTCAGGAAGAACAGCTGCCGACTGCTCAGCTCGAGGCCAGCTAGCTGCTCCTGCTGCAGCAGCTCCGGCGGCTGCTGCTCCAGCCAGCGTTGATAGGCCTTGTAGGCCAGCTTAACGCCCGCATTGTCTGCAATGTTCTCCGACTGCTGTACGCTCTCCGGCAATCGTGCGCCGCCGTATTTATAGGAATGATATTGCGCCTGGAAGCACTTGCGCTTCTCCTCGAACTCGTAGCGCGACTTGTCATCCCACCAGGGCGCCAAGTTGCCATTGGCATCGTAGCTGCGTCCCTCGTCGTCAAAGCCGTGTATCATCTCGTGCGCCAGCAGGTAGCCCAAGGTGCCGTACTTAAGCGCCTGCGGGTAGTCGGCGTCCCAGAAGTAGCGCGGCTGTAGCAGCGCCACGGGTATCGTGATGTTGTTCGCCAATATGCTGTAGGCGGGCGTGAAGCTGAGCACATCCGTGGCCTCCAGTGAGGTGGGCGGATTGTGCTGTCGCCTAAGACTGCGCTTGGCCTCCGCCATGAGCACCTGTTGCAAATTGTGCACATAGTTCTGCTTGTCCATGGTCAGCTCGCCGTAGAGTCCCTCAAAGTCCTCGTTGTCGTAGGAGTTGATGTGCAGCTCCATGTGATCCAATTTATTAATCACCAGCTCTCGAGTTTTGTTCGCAATCCAGTCGAGCTTGTCGCCTGCCAATTGCTGCCGGAACGTCTCACGTATCTGCTGCCAGACGCTCCTTACCTCCGCCTCGGCCGCGGGACTGCGATAGCGTTCATAGATCATGTGATCGGTAAGCTTGGCGAAGTGCTTCTTGGTTTGCTCCGTGCACCAGCTGCGCAGTTCGTTCGGCTTGTAGTCGATTTGGTAGGTCTCCAGCAACTGCCAGATCACAAAGTTGCCAATTGTGTCCCTGGGCGTCTTCTGGAGCTTTTTTAACGTTTTATTCAAGTACCTTTCGCTGTAGATGTATATGTGCTCCGGCACGTTCTCCTGGCCCAGCACCAGGCCCAGATACTCCTTGATGCTGATCAGCTCCGCATATCGCTGCTCCAGTTCGGCCACGGAGTAGAGTGTCAGATCATCTGCCAGGCTGATGCCTTGGCTAATGCTACCATCGTCCAAATCGCGCTGCAATTTGATCAGCTTCGTTGCGGTTCCCCGGGCCAAGCGCTCGTCAACGCCAAAGTAGAGCATGAGGTAATTAGCGAGCGACTTAGTCTCCAGACTGGTCAGTATGCTGATGGTCTGTTTGTTGTCCGGCGGCCCCAGATAGACTCGATTCAGCGTATGATTCTTAATGTCCGCCATTATATCCACGGCCAGTATGATTTTCCGTCCGTATTTGTGCTGAATGTCCGCAACTGTGCGCCACCAGCTGAAGCTCGAGGCATTCCAGCTCGCGCCTTCGATTACGGGAAATCCGCCGTATTCACGATAGATGCTCTGCAGCGCCAGCTTATAGTGGGCATCATGTACATCTGCTACCAGGCAGGAGCGATAGAAGCTCTGTAGCTTTTGCTCTAGCTCCGATTGCATTGATCCCGACTGCAGCAGACGTTGCAGTCGTCGATCGAATCCCTTCACAATCAACTGAAATGTATCCGTCATTATGTCGCCGAACAGCTGGGCAGGATTCTGGCGATGCCAATTGCCGCACGCATAGCTGTAGAAGTCGTCGCAGGGCGCAATCCTCGTGTTCAGCATGCCCTTCATCTCAGCCACCTTGGACTGGCGTATAATCTGCTTGGCGTACTCCGTGGTGAGATCATCGCGTATGGTTGCATTAGCATGCTCCGCGGGCATGGCCCCAGTGGCTGTGGCTGCGGCCAGGCAAAATATAGCCAGCAGCAGCGCAGCGTTCAGACGCCGTCCCAACATGATCCCGGCCAAAAATTCAACTGAGCTGCAACAGTCGCTTTGTCTGGGCACAACAGCTCACTTATCAGTGGACAATATATTTTCCAGGTCAAACTGTTATCGCGCGACGCGAGAGCGAGCTCCCTAAGCTGACTCGACTCTTATACAAGCGCAACAGAGTCGCATCAGCACATCTCATGCTATAGATATCTGAAATCTAGAATGCTATCTTATTGTTGTGATTGTTAGTCCTACTTAACTGATGCTCTGTGCCTTTCCTATTCTTTTTTTATCAATAGAATAAGCGACTTCAGCAATGTGGAGCTAAGTGTAACGCTCGGTGCCAGCTGACATAGTTTTTATTTTCTGATTTTCAGTTCGACTTCGAGCTGCTTGAAGCTTATGCATAACAATCTCAATCATGTATATATAAGAAACATGTTCCCGAACCAAATATCAAGGAAAAGAGTTGATTAGAACGAGCATATTTCGTATATATTATATAGCTCTGATTCTACGCAATATCTATTATGTGCAATGTCTATCAATATCTGTATCTATTTGATCTCTCTATAAGTCTCTTATCTATTGATCGATTTCTGCTTCCATTCTTGCAGCCATACCCATATTTTATATACTGGCCATTGTTCCGGGGCTGATGCCCTGGGACAGTGGTTACAAGTTCCTTTCGTTTTGCCACGTATTCGGATCGGTGGCGCCTTGGTGCGGCAGCTTTGTCTATCATCTGTTCATGAACATTGAGAAGGGCGAGAATGTCTACTACACGCTGCTCAAGCTGGACATGGTTGGCATCTGGGTGAGCCAGAGTTTCGGTAAGTGAGCATTAATCTATCTGTGTAAGCATGAGCACAGCTCGGAAATGGGAAATGAGAATACGACAAGTGTATATTTCAAGTACAGACAGCTTATACATATAGAGCTTCTAATCAGTTGAAGGACGGCCTCAGTAGATAACGCACTTTCGCAGGGGATTCATGTGGGCGCCTGGCCGGCACTCGTAGGCCTTGGCGAATGCATCAAAGTTGGCCATCATCGCGTAGAGTCTCACCTCATCCGGAGCGTGCACATCGCTGATGGCAATCGTGTGACGCCACTCTGGCAGCAAATCGGAACACCAAATTTGGCCCAGTGCCAGAAAGAAGAGCTGCTGCGGCGTGTGCGACATGCGAGGCAGCGTCTCTCCGTCCAGCGTCGACTGCCTCAGCCAGTTGAGGTAGGCGGCATGGGCGATGCGCACGCCCGCATTGTCCGCTATGTTCTCGGACTGCAACTGCAGCTTGGGCAGCTTCGCGCCGTTGTACCTGTAGCCACTGAACTGCTCCACCAGGCACTGCTTGCGCTCCTCGAACGCTTCGGTGGCATTGCGCTCCCACCAGTCGCGCAGATTGCCGTGGCTATCAAAGGTGCGCGACAGATCGTCGAAGCCGTGGGCCATTTCGTGGGCCATTGAGAAGCCGACGGTGCCGTATTTGAGCGCCATGGGGTAGACCTCGTCGAAGAAGTAGCGATGCTGCATAAAGCTGGCTGGTATGACGACACGATTCAGCTCCGCCACGTAGAAGGGCGACGTGCTAAAGTCGTCATAGAAATAGGGATTGGGTGGCCGCTGCAGATCCTCGCGCAAGTGCTGAGCACGCAGCTCGAGCAGCCGCTGCACGTTGCCAAAGTAGTCCGCATTGCTAATCACCAGGCTGCCGTAGTAGTCCTCAAAGTTGTGCGTCTCTGAGCCGAGTATGTGAAAGGTCATGGCTTTGAGCTTGGCCTGGGCCTCACTCAGGGTCCGTTCGCTTAGCCATTTGGTGTTGGGCGCGTGCAGCAAATCGTCAAAGGCCGCTTTCAGCTCCTGCCACAGCTGCCGCAGGCTGCCCGGTATATCCGGATTCTGTTTCTCCAGCGAGCGATACACCATGTGATCCACGAAGTCGGCAAACATCAGCGTCGTCGTCTCCGCGCACAGCACATGTTGCTTCTCCAGGCTGGCGGCCGGCTCGATCTCGTAATCGCTGATCAGCGTGGAGAGCATATAGTTGGCCAGCACGCGCTTGGGCGTTTGGGTCAATATCTTCTTCACCTGCCACATATAGCTCTCGACATATTCGTAAACGGGCAGCTGATAGTCATGATTCAGCCAGAGCTGCACGAGGCGCGTAACATTGAGCTTGGGGCCATAGCTCTCGCTCATGTCGGCCAGCAGGCGCAGGCGATACATTTGGCTGGGCGGCTGCTCCTCCTGCGGCTCAATGATGCCGTGTGCCAGCTCCAGATTGACTTTTGCGATTTCCGCAGCTGTCTCCGCGGCCCTCTGCTCACTGAGGCCTAGCAGATGCTGCAGATTTTGCTTCAGCAGCAGCTGACTGCTCTGGTGCAGGGCGACGGCTTTGCTGCTGTCCAGATCATCGCGTTGGCCAATGAACAGACGGTTCATCTGGCTGTTGGCCAAGCCCGGAGCGACGCGCACGCTCAGCAGCGTCTCCTTGCCAAAGCGATTCAGCAGACGCGCCATCATTTCGATTGGCTCGAAATTCGACTCGTTCCAGGCGCTGCCCTCAAGAGCGGGGAGTCCGCCAAACTCTTTGAGTATGCCGAGCACATGCGAGCGCTGATTCAGATGATTCATTGCACTGGTGTTCAGGCAGGATTCGTAGAAATACTTCACGCGCGTCTCGGTGGGGCTGTCGGTGCTCAGCTTGGGCTGCCGGAACAGTCCGCGCAGACGCCGCTGATAGCCAGCATTGAGTGCCTCAAAGAAGTCCGTGCTGACCGTCTCGTGAGTCGCCGGATTGATCCTGACGAAATTCCCGCACGCATAGCCATAGAAATCATCGCACGGCTTGACGCTTCCGTTTATGTAGGAGCGCATGCCCGCGGACTTGGCCTGCTGCATGATCTCATGCGTTAATGGTGTATTAATACTCAGACTCTCAAAGACGCCAGCGTAAACAAAGCTTAGTACAGACAGCAGCAGCAGCAGCAGCGGCAGCCAGCTGATAGCCCAACTGCTGACGGAAGCGGAAACAGCTCTCATATTGCGTTGTTTCAAGCGCGATTGTCGTTCCCCAACTGAGCTTCAGCTGTCGGTGCTGTTCGTCTTATCACTGATTAGTAGCTGACCAAAACAGGTGTCAAATGAAATGCTTTTCAGCTTGGACAGCTCATTTCTCTCTCGCTCTCTCCTTCTCTCTCTCTCTCTCTCTCTCTTTATTTGTCTCCCTCTGCAGGTGCCTTGCCGTTGGTTACGGCAACAACGCTGTGCTTTACTCCCATTCTCAAGTGGTTCATTATAACCGCATACTGTGTGCTCTCGCTATGGGGCTTGTATAAGGTAAGACATATGTATATATTTAAAGGTCCTGAATACGAGCTTAACTTCGAAGACGTTTTATTTGACGACTTCCCATTATTATTTAATTATAAGTAACGGATATATTACTGTAAAGTTTTGAACATAATGTTTCTTAGCTGTTCCCACTATTATTTCATTTCTCTATATTTACACACTTAACAGAATACTAACATATGTGAGCTTAACAGAATAGTTACTTTACAGCTTGACAGAAGTCTGTTCTAACATTTCCCACTATTATTTTTTATGCCAGTGTTAGCTAACTTAACTAATTCTAATTAACATTTCCCACTATTATTTAGATTCTCTCTAGAGTCTAACTAGATTGCTATTATAAATCTATTCCATCAATATATAATCTCCTTTAACAGGCACTCACCGCCAGCTCGCCGTGGCAGCGGCGTCTTTGCTTCGCTCTGCCGTTTGGCATGCGCTCCGTGCTGACCTTTCTGCGGATCCGAGGAATGGTGGGCGGCAGTCACATGGCCCTTTCCCATGTCTACCTGCAGGTGCGTATGTCAAGGCATTCCAATTGACTAACTTGCTATTTTTACCAAACATTTTTGGCTGGCCTGTGCGCATCCATTACTTAGGTTGAAGTTGTAAGTTGAATTTTCATATATCCTACACCTATGTACATAACCTGCATATGGACCAAGTGTAAGACTGGGCCGTATGCAACCGATGTGATTGGTGTCCTTCGAACACCAGCATACAAATACAACCAACCCCCAATACAGTTCCCGTCAGTTGTCTTTGCCCTCGCTAATACAAGTCTCGCACAAACATTCTCTTGCCCCGTTTCAGGATGGCGTCTCCATATTGGGCGGTGCTATTGGTGCTATGCGAATACCCGAAAAGTGGTTCCCCGGCCTGGTCGACTTCTACCTGAACTCGCATAACATTATGCATGTGCTGGTCGTGGTGGCCGTCTACTCCATGCACAAGGTATACTAGAGTCAACATCTCTATCTGTAGCATTATCTGAGCGTAATTTCTCCATTTCGACAGGCAACAATCAAAGACTTTGAATGGATGTCCACACAGACGTGCAATTCGGTGGCCAATGCCACAGTGGAACAGACATTGACCCACATGGACCTATGACCCGCTTACTGGCTGCTCCTAATCCTGCTGCTCTCACTGCTGCTCCTGCTAAAGCCCCAACCACGACGTGCCCGAATCAATTGGAAAATGCAAAAAGCTCGCAGCTCGCAGCCCAAGCAGCTGGACAGAGCTGATCATTGAGACAAATGATAAAGTAAATGCGAAATGCTACTCAAATATACCGTGTATAAAACGAGCGCGTGCTGTAACAGTAACAATATGAATAAGAATATATATATACATATATATATATATATAGTAACTAGATATATGTACATATGTATATGTATTATTAGTACATACTTCGACTGTGGTATTTAGGATTAAGATGATTATGAATTATCATTATGATGAATGATGAAGTAATTAACAAAATAACAAAAACAAAGCGCTTTCAATTACAACTTCTGTGCGCGACTCTCACGCAAAGTCTCTGAGTACTATATGAACGATAATTTCAATGATGTTGATACATATGTACCTCATTATGCTTACAAGAAAAAAAACAAAAAAAAAAACAAAAAAAAAACATCTAATTTTCAAGTATATATAACTTTGTACCTCGTCGACTATAAAAGAAAACAAAAATGGAAAAAATCGAAAACTAAGCTCTAAGAATACTTAATTGAAAAATCTTCCTAGTTGACAATTACTAAGATTTGAAATACCTTTATTTATAATCTAAAAAACGATGATCAAATTATGAAAGTAGAAGACAAAACTGATCCACTAATGTGTATTTTATGCCATTAGTTAGTTGTAACAATTGGACAAGTGTGAACATTATCTTCAAGCTAAATTAATGCTGAATCGAATTAGAAACAAACTTCCTAATGCCTAATTTTAACCATATACTTTACTATTACTAGCGAATCATTGAAACTCTCCACAAATTATAATTATTGAACAACTTTTTCTAGCTCCTAAGTGGCAGATGTAGAATAAAACAATTATAATTAGAGTACGGCAAAGTATTTTAAATCCAACAGATGGAACAATTATGAGTAACTAGTGTTTAGTAGTTTCAATAATTTACACCACATCCTTTAAAAAAAGCGAATGCAAAATATAAACGAACAAAGCTAACAAAATTACATAAACGAAAGCAATAAAAACATGTAACATTTATGCTTGTAACAAGTTGTAACTATGTTTTAAGGAGCAATTATAGCAATAATAATATACATACATATAAATATATAATTTTCCGAGAAAGTTAATAAACATTAAACGCGTACAAAAAGGAGCATAAAATTACCAATATTTGAATTGAATATTTGAATATCGCGCCTTAGAACAGTGTTGATAATAATACAAGTATTTTAGCGTTTTACCAAAAATAAATTGAAAATGTTCATAAAAATACCAAGTGCAATGTGACCATATGAATTTCAGCATATTGATTCAACGGGTTGGCATCACTGTTTTGTTTCTACATTGTGATTGTTGTTTTGCATTTGCCAACAATTGTTTGAAATTGTAAACTAAATAAAACAAACGTAATAAAACATACGTATTAAGCATGAGCACGCAAATAGCAGTGGCCGACGCCACAACGACGAAGTCTGTCAATTTCTTTGCACTACAGGCGGCATTCGAGGTGAGAAACAAGAAAATCTTCAACTGCTGCACCGGTAAATGTAAACTCGTAAACGTTTGCAGACCGCCCTGGAGCAGGCGATTGCCGAGAACAACGTGGAACAGTTGACCAAAGAGTATAACAGCTTTCGTGCCAATTCTGAACATGACAAACGCTCGCCCATGGACCAAGCGTTCCGGGAGGTGCTTATGAAACGATTGAGCGATGATGTTGAATGCATTGGAGCGCTTGTGCGTCTCTCTGTGGACGCGGCGCGTGCAGAGATTGTATCGAATACAATTCCAGTTGTGTTGCTTGGGGATACCTTTGATGTGGTTACGCTGAACAAGTGTGAACTGATTTTCAAGTTTGTGGAAGACCTCGTCGAAGTGTGGAAGGAGGAGATCTTCTTTGCCTCGTGCAAGAACAATTTGCTTCGCATGTGCAACGATCTATTGAGACGTTTGTCCCGCACACAGAACACCGTTTTCTGCGGGCGTATTTTACTCTTTCTCTCCAAGTTTTTTCCATTCTCGGAACGCTCTGGCTTGAACATTGTGTCCGAGTTCAATTTGGATAACTTTACCGAGTACGGTCTGGATAGCAAGGACCACGATGATATTGATAACAAGGAGCTAGAGGATACGGCTGAGGATATACCGCTTAAGATTGACTACGATTTGTATTGTAAGTTCTGGTCGCTGCAGGACTTCTTTCGCAATCCTAATCAATGCTACAGCAAAGCGCAGTGGAAGATGTTTCAAATGGTAAATCAAAAAAGTCCATCAATCGCAAAGGATTGCTTTAGCTTGTGCTTTATATTCATAGCACGCTGACACCATACTGCAGTCATTTTTGAGCTTTAAACTGGAAGATATACGCCAAAACACTGATTCCAATGGTACCAATGGCGACGCGGGCCCACAGGCTATGGATGTAGACGTGGACGATGCTGCAATCGATGCAGCTGCTTCGATAGCTGTGCGTAAGGAAACAAACTTCTTTGCCAAGTTCCTGACCAATCCCAAGCTGCTCGCACTCCAATTGTCCGACTCGAATTTTCGGCGTGCTGTATTGGTGCAATTCCTTATTCTGTTCCAGTACTTGCAGGTCACTGTCAAATTCAAAATGTAACTACCCTAACCCAAGTAGCTTCACACTATTGCACTCATTAAGAGCTTCCATTTAATCTTAGCGACACCTACACCCTGACGAGTGCTCAGTCTGATTTTATCAAGGAAACGGAACAACGCGTGTACAAACTGCTGGAGGAAACGCCACCGTATGGCAGGCGTTTCGCACGCACTGTGCAGCATATGCTGCAGCGCGAGGAGATGTGGAACAATTGGAAAAACGATGGCTGCAAGGAGTTCAAGAAACCCGAAGAACCCGAGCCCGCCGAAGAAGAAGTTAAGCCCTCACCACCAAAGCGTTCCAAACGGCCTTTGGGCGATTGTCTACGGGATGCGGCGCGCAGTGGCAAATTCTATTTGGGAAAGTGAGTGCCGCACTTCAAAATGTGTATATGTATATATAACTAACTAATCATGATTTATTAGTGACAATCTGACTCGGCTATGGAACTACTCGCCAGACAATTTGCAGGCCTGCAAGAGCGAGCAGCGCAACTTTTTGCCTCTGTTGGAGACATACTTGGAAACACCTCATGACAAGAGCGATCCTGCTTTCGAGTGGCGTGCTTTGCGCCTCTTAGCTCGCCAGACACCGCATTTTTTCACGCTCGTGTCGCAACCGTCCTGCAAGATATCCGACTATCTGGATGTGGTGCGCATACGGTTAACTCGCGAAAAGGAACTGGTTAAGCAGATAAGCACCACAACAGAAAATGTGTCGGAGAATAATAATGGCTTGACTGAGCCTAGTGCACCAACTGAACAGGAGCATGACGCATCAGTTGCGTTGCAGGAAACGGAGCCTGAACCCGACCTAGAGGTGGAGGATTCAGAGCCCGTCGTGGAAGAAGTGGACGAGACACCGTCACATGAGAAACCGTTGATGGTGACAGCAGCTCACATCGAGGAGATAACACCGTTGATAGGCGAGCCTTGGATGAAGGTGGGCAAAAAGATAGGCTTCAGCAATGACGAGTTGCTTTTCTTTCAAATGGAAAATCCTACAGCCGGCGTGGCATGCATGAAGATGTTGACCAATTGGATTTCGGACGATGACGATGCCACGCTCGAGAACTGGGCCTACATGCTGGAAGGCTTGGAAATGCATAAGGCTGCCGACGCTGTAAAGGCCATCATCGAACGTGAAAAGACGAGCAGCACGCAGTCACTCTCCCAAGCCGAAATCCAGCCGGATGCGAACAGCAATGATGTGGAAATACTGTCAGATTAGCAGAGGAAAACACGCTCAATTACTTTAATGCTGTTATATATTCATCAAATCATTTATCACATGTAATAAAGGCATAAGTCAACGTCCCAAACCTAGATACTGTTAACGAATCTTACGCGGCTTGTTGTGCTCCATGGTGGCACAGCGGGGAATATGTCGTTCGGCGGCCTGTTGATTAAAACGTCTGCCGCAATGCGGGCACTGTATATAGTCGGGGTTCTCTGAAGGAGGCGGCGGTGGCAGATCACTGAGTTTGCCGCCACGTGCCAAATGAATCTGCACCTTTTTGGCAGCCCGTATGGCCTCAATGAATTCCTCGTGCTTCTTGCGCCAATTGCTTTTCTTAATACCTGTTTTCAGGCCCTTTTGCTGTGCTGCGCTGCTATATGTGGATTGTGAGCGACTCAAGTTGGACTTCTGCTGCATCTTGCTGTACTTCTCGTTTTCCGTGCCCTTCACACGCTGCTTAGAGGCGTCAAAGATCTTACGCTTCGTATTCATGGCTCGCTGGCACACTTCCTCGTGCTTATCCAAACGATCGACATTGAAGTGACGGCCACAAAAGCGACACACTTTGGTACCTTCTGGTGGTGTTGTATCCTGCAATCCAGAGAACGAGTGATGTAATCGTATATTCGTGGACTCGCTCAACTGCACTTACCATTTGAATTTTGGTAACTGGAGATTTAGTCGTAGCCTATTGCCGTTTGTAATAATACATAATTTCAGTTAGTTTTGAATATTCGAACGTGGCCATGTTGATGCGACTTACCTGACGTTCCTTGGGTGCCGAAACGCGTACTTTCTCTGACAATGGAGCCTTTACGGTTGGTGAACGAACAGCTTGTAATGTTGGTGTTGCTGTGTTGTTTGTTGTTGTTACTCTCAGAGTCTTGACCCTGCCGCTGTTGGGAGGCGAGGAATTTGCGCTAACTGTCAGCTCCTTCTCCTTTTTGGGTGGCGTTTTGCGTGTTATCACTGGCTTCAGACGATTTGCGTTCGTTATCGGGCCGAGTGCGTTATATTTACTGTTGTTGGTGTTATTGTTGTTGTTGATTTTGTTGGGTTTGTTGTTGGGCTTGTTGTTGTTTTTGTTGTTGTTGTTGTCACTGGTCAAATTTCCGCCAGTTACTGTCTTCTCTTTAAGGCTCAGTGCGGATAAGCCTTTGGCCATCTGCTGCTGCTGCTGTTGTTGCTGCTGCTGTTGCTGCTGCTGCAGCTGCTGCTGCTGTTGCGCCTGCTGCTGCAGCTGCTGCTGCTGCTGCTGCTGCTGCTGCTGGAGGCTATGTGAGCGTGTGTCGCCAATGGGCTTGAGTGGATGGCTGCGATCAATACCAGCTCCACGACGTCTCTCGTCAAACATTTGACGTACTTTGCCATTGCCTATGAGCCGGGTGGATTCGGCTCTGGGCGAAACAGAAACAGTCTGGCTTAGTTCTTGACGTCGCAGCTCCTGCTCCTCCTGGGTTTTCTGTTGGAAGCGCATCTGAAATAAAGTGCAGTAGAATTAGTTCTAGGTACTCCACTTGACATGGCCGAGCACTCGATCGGCTCTTACGGGTGCCGAGTTGCTGTCGCTGCCGTGATTGGGCGGCAAATGGCTAAGTGCCTCCAATAGTCGCCTGGCTGCCCATGATTCATTGAGCTTCAGCGGCAGTATATGATCATGCAGAGAGTCTGACATTAAGTCGTAATAGTCATCGACTTCGAACTCGTCCGTCTGCGACATGTCCATGCGATTCGTGCGAGACGCGCGTGCCGACTAAAACGTACGTGGAACTGGACATTAGCAAGTCCGTTTCCCCCGAGTGGTAATTAACTGAATGTATGCATGAGTATGTATATGTATACGTGCGTATGTCGCTCGGCTTGTTTGTCTATTCAAAGTCCCGATGAGCCAAACCCACCCAATTGCCCATTAAACCGAATCTGTGTGTCCACTTACATGCCGCCAGTACATAAAGCCGCGCGCCACCCGACCCGCTTGCACGAAGCTAACCCTGGCAGCCGTCTTGGCTGGCTTGGCAAAATAGTTGGGGTTCGCGGGCATGGTCCCGTCCTCAATCACTAGTTGTGCTGTGGCCAGCCATGGCCAGCCAGCGGACGAAAAGGCGCTCGACCCAGCAGAAATCGTAGAAATTGAAATTTGTTTTTATAAGCTTGAGCACTTCACAATATATAGTTGTTGTTATTCGATTGTTGTTGCTGTTGCTGCATGCCAATAACAAAAATCAATGACTGCAACACGACCCCATGGTTGCCATGGAGCTGGAGCAGGGCGGGCCTTTGGCTAACAATAAAACCAGTCCGAAAAGGGCATGAAAGAGAAGGGCTATCCAGTTTAGCCATGCAACATTTGTTGCACACTCAAACAACAGACGGGCGAGCAGAGCAGCCCGTAAAGGTGACAAAGCCCATGGGGTGTAGACCATTCCCAAGGGGTTTTCCCCGACGACACCTGAAGCCGTCCCAAATCAGCGATACAAATCTCGAGCAACAATTTTCGAGTTTGCTTTGTGCCCTTTTACGGGTGCTTGTGTGTGTGTGAATGGCAGCTGTATGTGTGTAGGAGGGAGCCTTGTGTTTGTGTGTGTGTGTGTCGACTACTTATTTGATTATTTATATACATATAAAGTCGAATTTAAATAGCTTAACTTTCTCTAGTTAATGGTATTTTTTGGGCACAACTAGCACAATTTCCTAGAGTATTTAATTAGACGCTCAACATGCACAATTATACGAATTAGCATTGGCTAAGATAAGCCAAATGTCAGCTGGACAAGACTTTTGTCAAACAGTCATTAAAACATTAATATATTTTGTTGTTTAATAATCAAATTTAGATAGTGATGTCAGATCATATCAGGTATTTAAATGTATGAGATGACAGAGGACTGAGTACTGCGAGGGAGAAGAGAGGGTTGAGAGAGGGAGGTGAGAGGGAGAGGGAGAAGAGAGAGAGGAAAGAGTGGGAAAAGAGAGAGAGAGAGGAGAGAGAGGAAAGAGTGGGAGAAGAGAGAGAGAGAGGAAAGAGAGGGAGTGAGAGATGAGAGGGCAGTGAGAGGAGTGAGGAGTGGCAGGAAAGAGTGATGAAACCAGAAAGAGTGTCATATTTTCATATCTACAAGAAATCTTTAGTTAATTCTTATTTAAGCTGTTCGCAATGCCAAACTTGGGCGCTGAAATGAATGGGCTGGGGAACTATAGCAAGAGCGACATCATTTTAGCCAAGTGCTAGAGCCAAATGATGAGATTCAAGTCTAGACAAGAAGATCTAACATCAGCTGCTGGCCATATAAGGCGCGCTACGGAAATTGACAGTCACACTGACTGTCAGCCAATCGCCAAAAATGGGAGCAGAGCTTAATTAATGGGCAGTGGATGGCGCTCAGAGACGCCTTTCGTGCGCTCGGCACGCTTCCTGTCAAACTCAGCGAACTTACCCGCATTTGTGCCAGCCTTGAGGCTGGGTAATTAGTGGCATCTTGTGACGCCATCACCAAATAAAGTTAGCGCTCTTAAAGCTGAGTCTCAGTGGTGTCTGGTGTGGGCAGTCGGCAGTCGGCAGTTGGCCGTCGGCGATGGAATCGGCGTTGACGATGACGCGGCGCAGCTGTTTGGTGTGTGTGTAGACCCGGCTTAAGCTCAGCGGTGAGTCATGCACAGTCGTCTAAGAGTTTTGCGTTTCGCTGTGCCTAAAAATAGCTGTAAAACAAAAGCAAACAAACAAATCGAAGAGCGTTTTGAGTAACTGAGCGGCATATGAGCTGTTAGCTCTGAGCTGTGAATGTCGCCAGGAGGCGTCAATGGAAACAGGGCGCAATGCCAATTGTTGCTATTGTGTGGGCAGCCCCATCTGGAAGTCGAAGATCAAGTCGAAGCCGTACCCAGTTACTAGCAGCACTGGCTGCTGCCGTGGGTCGTGGGTCGTGGGCCGTGGGCCGTGGGCCGTCTGCGACATTCAGTTGCTCCAAAAATGGGCTGCTCAATGAGCAAACTAATTGAATTGAATTTGATTCGCTTACCGAATTGAATGATCTGCACTCCACACTCGCGGACCTCAAACATACATGCATACATACATGCATACATACATGTATGTATATATATATATAAATATTTAGATATATATGTATGTATATATGTATATACGTTTCTTGTTAGTGCGTGAGTGGGTGTCAATAGAACCTTGCTCCTGTTTCAAAGCGTTGCTGCGTACAGTTTTCGAGTCGAATTTCCTATAGAATTGCTACTAAGGTGTTGTATGCTCCCGAAATATAATCATGTAAAGTTTCTGCTTATTTCCGAATTTAAGTTTAAAACATATCTGCAAAGAACCGGATACGTTGACTGCTCAGTCAGAGCCATCTAAGAGCCATGTTTAACGAAATTAAATATCTTATAAATAATAATAAGATAAGCCCTTTAAGCTGAATGTAGCTAAGAAATATACTTATGTAAGTGTGATTTGAAAGCTGTTGACATTGCATCAACTCGAAGTTTCCATACAGATGTCGCATACAATGAAAACTAACTTGATAAACTGTGATTTTAAGCTAACGAATTCGATTTTGGCTCAGGGCATTCAGTAGTCGGCATTGCCGCCCACGGCAAGCACATAAAGCAATTAATTTATGTTTATTTTATTTTTTTTTTGGCACACGTTCGAATATAACTGTTTGTGTGTGTGATTTGAGGTGTTTTGTGTGTTGGCTTTTGACTGCGCCAAGTGCTTTGATTTGCATAACTTTGAAGCTGAAGCAACTTACCTATGCGCTGACGGCTGTTGAGGAATGTTTGCTCGAGCGAAAGACGGGCACACACGCACACACACGCGACACACACTAGCTTCAGTCTGGTGGTCAGTTCACGTCAAATGCCACTGGGGTTTATTGACACAGTTGAACGTTAGTTAAACTATATAATGCATGTCTTGGAAAGTGGGACACAGGACAGCGTCAGCTGGTCAAACTGACAACGGGCACTGCAATTACGCATACGTCGCGTGCGCCCGAGCCAAAATGGTAAACTGGCCTAGCGAAATCTGTGGCAGTCGGCGTTCGGCTTGGACTGCTTGCTTAGAAGCTTGTACGCTGACTGAGACAAAGATTGCGGCCGCACACAAAGCCAGCCAAACGGTTAGCGTCAGTCGAACAAGTTGTGAGCAGGCAGCGACTGAGGCAGCGGCAGAGCCAACTGAGTCGTCGAGAGTGCACTGATCACTGGCGATGACGCGACACTCTCAGCGTATGTGGATAGCGTGTCCAGTGGGCGTGGCCCTCAGTGCATCCGATGGCAAGGAAATGAAACGAAAAGGCGTATGTTTTTTAATCCACAAATATATATATATTTTATCGCTCGATTGTTACTGCTGTTTACTTTCGGTTCTTTGGCATGTGAAATTTATCAACGCTTTTTTATGTTGTTATATTTTCTGTTTTTCAGTTTCAACTTGCAATTCTCAATCCACTTTTTGCTCACATCGCAAAACGCGTGCAGTCGCTGAGTACATATTAGGAAGTTTTTCTCTCAACCAACTTAAATCATAATAATTAATCATATCTTACGTGTGTTACCTTAGCCTCCTACCCCAACAGAGCGTTGTCTGTTATTCTCAATGACTTGGCGCACTCGATAACCAATTCAGTGGAATACAGTCTGTCAGGGTATCTGAACGTCAACATCTTGGGCTTGCCTTTCCTGCTATTGCTCACATTGCGTTTCTGTGCTCATCATATGTTTATATAATAATTATTATTCATTACTTTTCTGTTGTTTAGCTTTTACTGCGGTTTTGAAACCTAATAAGTTCGCGCTTTGTCTTGCGTTTTGTTTATTTATATTTATATATATATATTTCTTTTTTCTTTGAGCGAATTATTATCATGTTTTTTTCTCTTTTAACAATTGCAAATATATATATATAAATATATATATATATATGCCATGTACTAATACAACATATGTGTGAGCTCTTTTCGTGGTATTTACGAATCACTTCATAACCTTTTAATATATATATATATATATAAACATAAATATATATATTTATATCGTACGTTTTGCTAAAATTTTGAAACTGACTTCTGCTTTTCCAGATTGTGGCACATGAATAAACTTGGAATCATTTTTAATACATTCAAATATATTTTATTTATTTACTTTTTTGTTTTTTTGTACATATACTGGATTAAAAATATAGACACCGTGTACATTCATATAATTTAGTAGATTGGAGATATCGTTTTACATTTTTTTTTTTAATTTAACCCACATCATGTGTCCAATATGAAGAGTCCATACATATGTATACGTATGTATCTTCATTTGAACTGTATGTAGTGAGTTATGTGTTGTGCTTCTGTTGTTTGTGTGTTGTTTGTGTTGTTTGCGCTCTGTGTGTACGTGTTGTGCTACCGACATTTGAATAACTTTTTTGTTGTATTTCTTGGATTCTATATACGATTTCTCGCATATGCAAATGGTATTGTTTTGTGTATTGGTTACATTGACTTGTGCTGCGTGTATACGTTTGTATTTTGCTAAAAACAAATACAAAGTTTACAGCATTGACAAGTGCAATTAAGAATTCAATTATGAATTCACTCACATACATAGCATTCGAAGCCAATTACAGTAGACATTCGACTTCGGGTACTTTAACTAAATGAGAACATCAGCATCAAATTCAATATCTTCTTAACAAAATCAACAGCAGCTGCTGGCTGACAATCCACAAAGATTACATACTATTCGCTGCAAATACCGGGCGAACCTTGCTCTGGGTCGTATACGTATGCGTAATGTGACACTCGCTTCATTCCACTTGAATCAATCAATTGTCTTTCAATTTCATTGGATTTTTTACTAAAATACACACATATATACACTTATATATTTATACGAAGGGTATAATATATATATATAAGTATAAATATGTATGCATATGTCTGTATACGTCCAATTTCATTGAATTTCATACTAAAATAGACATATCGATACATTTATATATATACGAAACCGATAATATATATATATATGTATAAATATGTCTATATAATCTGTGACTATACGTATACGGAATGCCGCACTCGCAAAATAAACTTCCCCAAATATTGGTTCGCTTAATTCCACTCAAATCTTTTAGTTGTCTTTACATTTCATTTGCCTTTTCTAAAACACACACATACATATATATATATATAATATATGTATGACTACACCTGCAGATATATCAGGTGGCTCATCTTTCTCAGTTCAACTTTGTTGCATATTGGCAGAGATACAAATGATAAATTTTGGCGTTTCAAAAAAGATTGGAACGTGTACAAGTGATCTACAAAAAATTTACATTTATCTAAAATCATTTTTGCTTTTTTTTTTTTTTTGTTCATTTTTGGCGTGTTCAATAAAGGTTATAAAATATGCTTGGCAATAAATAAAGACCGGAGGACTAAAGTACATTTGTTATGTACGTGTACAAATACATACATATATTGGTATCCAAATACTATATATGTAAAATCCGACTTTGGACCTGCTCAATAAACGGTTGTCCCTTAGTCATGGAGTTCTTGTGCGATGCTTGCGGCTACTTTAAGATGTCTTAATCTCTACAGTACAGTTGCCACAAAAAACTCCCGATTGGACGTGCCGATCAATTTCTATATCAAGTTGGGGACATCGGTATCGCCCTCGATATCGACACCGATGTCAATTACGATTTAATTACATTTGCCAATTACTGGCCAAATGCAAGTCAATGGAAAATCGTATTAAATTTTTAATATGATTTAACTTCATTCTTTATATCCGTGATTGTCGAAGTTGGTTTTTTGTTGACTTTTATCATCATTTTTGTTTTGTTTATTGATTCTTTTGGAATTCGAGTTATCCATAAATTGATGAATCGATGCAATTTTTTGTCGTTTCCTTTTCCTGCTACGCATCGCTTGACTTTCACACTCAATTTCACATCGCTCGCACTTCAGACTACAAGATTATGCTGACGATAAGCTCGAACTACTACCATTTGTCTATAAGCACATCGCTCAGCTATTTCCACTTTGTACTACTACATAATATAGATACTTTTCTAAACAATTTAAAGCCAACATTCAATGCGCTCTAATTTAACGTCTAAACGACAATTGCTTAAGTCTTTTAGTCTACATTATTTGGGGATTTTCTTTTTTTTCTTTTTTGCCTTTTTTTCTTTTACAATATTTTCTTTTTCTTTTACATTCATATAACATTTATATATATAGATTTTGTTTCTTTTCTTTTTTTTTGGGTACAAATATACCAATCTCTCTGTGTATTGAGATGTTGTGTGACTAAAGCTTCTGTTACCTTTGCAAGCACTTGGCTTAGGTTTTTGTTTCTTTGTTTTTTGTTTGTGTCGCTGTAGGCTCTGGCTGTGTTTAGCGGCCTTTATCGACTCTTTGCATACATTAAAAGATATAAGGCTAGGTAAATAATCAGCAATAATTATGGGGCGTTCTTTGAGAGAGCAAGAGAGCGAGAGAGAGACAGAGAGAGTGAGAGAATGAGAGTGAGAGAGAGGTAAGATTTTTCTGGTTACCCGTATTATCAAAATTTTTATCTGAATTTTTTTCTTTTCATTTTCAACAATATGAAAACCTGCGCTAAAACTTTGTTTCATTTCATTTTTTCTATGTAAATATATTGGCTTTCAACAAATTTTCCTTTTTTTTTATATTTTCTGTCCATAAAGACACAATTATCCTAACTTTAGATTTCTTAACGTTCTCGTTCAAGGTTTCCGTAGCGGCGTTTTCTGTGCACTTGTGCACAAAAATGTTCAAAATTTGCAAAATTTCTTTTTTCTTTTTGAATACACTTTGTTCGACCCTTAAAGGTTGAAGTGTTTGTTGTTGACAATTACCCTAGTGTGAACTTTAATGGTGAATAATTCAGGAATTTTCTTTCGACCGATCGTATCCATCAATGTTTTTGAATGTATGTATAAATATATTCATAGCCACATAAACTTGTTCACCAGAGTTTTGTGTGGATATGAGCATATTTTCTTATCGTTACCCTGCGAAGATAATTGATTCAAGCCGGAGATACACTAATCACTATGCAACGAGGATAACAAGTTTGTGTGTTCTAACATATTTCCAGAAAATTGTATTTTCAACAGCAATCAGAATGGCTTTACACCGGAGACGTAGATAGGGTTAAGTATAAGGTTAGATAATATTTGTATACATAGATATATATTTGTATTTGTAGACCAATATATACAAGCAATATGTATATCTGTTTTGCTAATTTGATTTGTTTATTTTATAAACATTACTTTATCAGTACGGGTGGGCTGTTGTTAATTTCAGTTTCTATAAACTGGCCTGGTTGGTGTGCTTGGGGTATTCATATGCCTATGAATTATTACTAGGATTAATTTTGTATATTTCAATAACCTGGTTTTCCTTTTGCTTGTTGTTAGTTGCGTTACCTTCTATAGCATAACCAATGGGCTCTCTATAGATAGTAGAATATAAAAATGCTCTAGGTAATCATACTATATTCTACTCAATTACAAATAACTTTCACTTTCGATGAGCTTAAAACTGCATAAAAATATCAAAATAACGCAGCGCGACCTTGGGTAGGAGAGGTCGTCTGCTGAGTAGGAAACTCTCTATAAAACTCATAAAAATATTCTAGGGGCTTTGATTTCCACAACTTGCTCGGAGCCATTCGCTTTTGCAAGAAATTGTTGCATACTCTAAGGCGCCGCGCAACACATTAAACTCTTGCACTAGCTGACTGGGTGTTGCTAGGTAACAGCATGAGTGCGGATTAGCTTTGCGAACGGACACGCACGCACCCACGTGTACACACGAACACCCTCAGTCTCACACAGCGGGAAATTGATAGTCATCTCTGGCATTAATTCAATGTGTTGCGTTAGCAAGCTGCAGCTGTAGGTTCTAATTGGCTGCTGCTCGCTAATTGGAGTGTAGCAACAATAACCCAAACTCAATTAACAGAAACACGCAGATGCTGCTTACACACACAAGCAGATGGATGCACCGTGGTGCGTAACGCAGCCTGACATTACCCATACGCACACATGTCCTGTGCATCTATCTGCCTGTGTGTGCGCTGGCTTGGATAGAGATGTGCATGCAACTGTATATTCATACGTACATACATAACTATATTCAGACATATATAGTTATATACATACGTACATATAAACAGTTCTGTCAATCGGTGCGACAAGCAATGGGAAATTCTTGGCCGAGGTAATTCTATGAAAGCGTTAGCCACTAAAGTTCTCCGACTACTACTCGAGGTGACACAGGCGTAGAGATGGATGATGTGGAGTAGCGTATGAAGGGTCGGAGCGCGGCTGATTGACTAGGTATATAGACTTAAAATATAAAATCGCCACAGTCCATGGCATAGTCAAAATCCTCGCCGCCCAAATCGTCGACGCCCGAGGAATGAAAATCAAAACCGCCAATGTCTGTGTGGTAGATGGCGCCGCTGCACGAGTTCTCAACGAGATTCGTGCAGTGCGTTGTTGGTAGTGCGTGTAGTGTGAATGTGTCCTCGCATTGCGACCAGGTGAGGCCGCCGCTCCAAACGCCGTTGGGCAGCGTGGCCCAACCCCAACCATGTCCCCAGGGCAAAGCGCAGGCCAGCGATGCCTTTGAGTCCGCCTTCTTGCTCAATATGGCAACGGCCGCATCGCTTTTGATCAATGGATTCTGATTGTGGAGCATCCGCTCTGTGGTCAGCGCCGCTGAGGAGCTGCGGTGATGGCGACTGGTCTTGTGGGCCACCGATTTTCGCTGTTTCACCTCAGAGTTGGTGGGCGCTGTGGTTGGCAATATATCGTCGTGCGCTTAAGGATAATATGGGCATGCTGTAGGATCATAATACTTACGTCTTATCCGCACCAATGGACGACGCAACACATTCATCAGTTGTGGCTTATCCACGACCAGTTCGATTTGCGGCGGTGGCGGCAATGTTTTGGTAATGGCTTCAATCCAATCGCCTACCTCTTGCTCAGACTTGGCCAGCATCCAATAGACCTTGGACCGCTTGCGCCGCGAGCCGAGCGCAATTAGCTGCGACACGCTGACGCCATTGGGCAATGGCGGACGACGTGGCACCTGTCCAGTCCAATGAGCAATGGCTAGCATCTCGGGAGCCTCCTTGACCAAAACCTTGCCGGATGGTGCCGAGCGTCCCGGCTCTGTAAACCAGGCCATGGTGGAGTCATCATACAGTATAACCCATTCCTCCGACCACCGATTCCACAGCATTTGTTCTACAAATTAATGACGACGGAATATTTGTTGTATGTTATATGTTCGTGAATAACCTTGAAAATGGATTGGCTAATTGAGTCTGTGACATTAATAGAAAGTGACAGAAAAGGATATTTATTAACCCAACCGAGAGGCAAGTGCAGCATGTTGTCGTGCCTCCCACATGCACTCTGAATGCATTGTCAGAGCCAATTTTATTTGTTGTGATTGGAGACTTTTCCAGGAATATGTGTGCTGTGCGTGCTTCGCGTGAAACTCAATTACTCAGTGTCTGAATGGTTTAGTGCACGCGTCAGGATAATTGGATCAGCTTTCATTTAACTGTGAAAACTGTTGTCCATGGCCGGGCAGGGCAGTGTTTGTATATCATATATTTTATTTATAGAGATAAACAATTGTGTTTGCAGTTGGCTGTCATTGGATAATTCAAACTAAATAATTATGTTCACATTTCATTCGACCCAACAGATAGACACAATTCACACCGTCGTCCGTCGGTGGACTGCAGAAAAGCTGATCTATAACTTAACTGCGTCTAAACTGGCATCGTCAAAGAGCAGTTCGAGTTCTGAGAAATACAAATAATTGCATCGAGCACCGCTGAGTGCGTCAGCAAATATTTTCTCAATTATTTCTAAGCCGCTTAAAGGCATATCCTTCCAGAGCACACCCGCTGCTGCCTGCCTCGCTTATCTGGCACAACAATAGCGCTACAGGTAGTGCGTAATATTTGAGCTTTTAATTGGAATTTGCATAACAATGCCAACAATGGCCAGCAGCAATGGACAACAACAACAACTAGAATGCAATTATTACTCACTTTTATAGCGTAGAAGGTAGCCGCCTTTGATTTGCTTGCCCGCACTCTCTGCAAATGGAATAAAGAAAAAAACAGGAAATATTTTTAATAAAAATGGAATTCAGGCTAAATTAAGCTAGTTTAGAACGTATCTCAACCAGTGACCGTTGCAGCCAGCTACGGTTGGTTGTTTAATTGAAAATGTCATTGCCAATGTCAGTCCACGCTGACCTTTGGCATTGGCATTGCTACTGCACTCTAATCTGGCTGAAACCCAAGTTGCTCTGACAAAAGGACCACAATGCAGAACATCCTACATTGTGTGTGTGTGTGTGGGAGTGGGCGTGGGCGTGGGCGTGGCAGTGTCGAGCAATAAGAGCATTAAGGCACACTAAATAACAGAGTGCAGAACACTGATAAACACGAAATTCCAATTTCCATCATTCTCGTATTGTGAGCAGCACACAAAGCCGCCCACCTGCCACCAGCCTCTGCCTCTGCCTCTGCCAGCTACAGAAACCCTTTCATGTACATGCATTAGCACTCGTCCCTCTAATTAGTGAAGTTTATTAAAGCCCACGCATGCACTAATTGACAAGCTCGTGAAACTTGAACCATTGCCAGAGCGAACTAATTATCGTCATGATGATGATGGATCGGCTATCGGAGTGCTCCGTATTCAATGTCACAGAAAAATGCTGCATTCACAGAAAAAACTCACATCTACCGAATGCAGCCCAGCGAATTTACATGCTGTGCGCATATCGTGTGAAAGTCAATTATTCAGTGTCTGAGTGGATTACTGCAGACGTAAGGATAATTGGATCAACGCTCATTTTAATGGAAAACTGTTGTTGCAACGGTGTGAAAGTTTTATACATGGATTCAAATGGAACCGGAATGCATATTGTATGATGTGCACGGAGGGCACACAGTGCCTACGTTTAGTATTCGTATTCGTATTCATTCCTTTCCATGCCAATTAGCAGCCTTTATGAACTGCAAATGGAAAGCGAACCACTACAATGGCTGTGTGGGTGTCTGTGCATTGCTAGATGAATATGATTAACCATCGAACGGTTGGTGGTTGGCTTTCCTGCTGATAGCTTGTCAATGCAAAGTGCTGACACTGCAGTTGAAAAGGACTCAAGGCTTGGCTGCCCGTTTCTTGGCAACTGCTATGCTTGAGCTAAGCCCAAACGAAATGCAGACGTTGTGGGATATGGTACACACACACACACACACACACACATATATATATATATATGCATATCTATATGCCTCATATGCATGCACACTTATAGCGGGGCAAGTGTCGGCTGCAAGAGATATAGAGCGAGCGAAGTGGTGCTGGGGCCGGGAGAACTAGGTCGCCGAAGGACACTGGGCGGCCTGGGCCAGCAGTGAAGCAGACAGTCAACTGACAAAGGACACACCGGACAACGGACATCATGTGTGCCACTTCAGTGCACGCATACAACCGCATTCATATTTCACAACCCACATGCCCATCTAAAGTGACAAAGCAACTGAAATTGCAAGTGGCTGCAACAGACGACGACAAGGACGCAGGCTCAGACGACACACGGCAGCAAAATCAACTTGTACATAATTGTTGGAGCCAACTGTGGGGCGAGAGCGTGGGCGATGGCGAGCCGTGGGCGGTGGCGAGCCGTGGGCGGTGGCCAGGCATGGGTGCTGGCCAGGCGTGGGCGGGCGGGCCAAGCGTTGCAGTTGCTATATACTTGCATGATTTATGCATGTGAATGCTTTCAACCCACCGACAACGCCTATGTCAGCGCCAGCAGCGCCAGTCAAGTTGGCTGCCTGGTGGATTCATTTAACTTGCAGTAACACATAAGTGCAGCAGTGGGTTGGTGGCTGGGGGTGGCCACTGGGTGGTGCAGCCTGATTGTTTTCTGTGTATGCGTGTGGGTGCCTATGTGTGTGGGCGTGTGTGTGTGTGTGTGTGTGTGTGTGTATGCGCTGGCGCTGTTTTAATGATTTAATGCAGTTTATGTGCTTGGGCCAATGGGCGTGGCATTGCCACTGGCGCTGATTGCAGCATAATATCTGCGCTGCTGAGTTCCACTTAATAAGGCGGGGCACAAGTGGGCGTATGTACTTACATATGTCCATAATGAGCAGGTCAACAATGGGACCGCAGCGACAGATAGAGAAGCGGAAGCAGAGAGCTAAGCCCAGCGAGAGATATACATTGCAAACAGCGAGAGAGTGGGAGAGCCACACACATAGAGAGTAAGAGAGACAGAGAGAGCGACAGAGAGAGAAGGAGATAGATAGATAGAGTGGCACACGAGCTCACGCACACCCACACGCATAGTGCTGTGCGTCTGTGTGCGACTTCATTGAGGAAAATTGTTGCCAGGTCCACGCCGAGCAGCCAGCGAGATTTTTGCAAAAACGAGTTCAAGGGTTTGCTCGGAAATGAGGACAGGTCGCAGCGCAACTGTTAAGCGCTCACACGCAGATCTAGCCCACACACACATTGAGATCTGGGGCTGGGGCTGGGGCTGAGGCTGTGGCTGTGGCTTTAGCTTGGGCTAACCCATTAACTTACCCAAGTCATGCATTTGTTGAGATGCTATCGAGGACTCCTCACTTCTCGGCTTCACCTTTTTGCACATGGAAAACATGTTGATTGGCTTGATGGTTTATCTGTAGTTAGTGTGGCGGTGATTGGGTATCTTTTATTGGCTGTGATTAGATTGGCAGCTTCGTTAGTGGTTAATTGATAAAAGTAACTGTTAAAGCGATGATAATGGAAAGTCGATGTGGCGCAACGTTTACTTCATTAGCACTTCAAGTGGACTCCGGCCCGGTTTTCTATAAAATGAAATACAAAGAAGTGATGTCAGCAACATACGCACACACACAAGCACACACACAAGCACACACACACACACACATAGATACGTACTTAGACAATGAGAGAGCCGTTTCGAGTATCCTCCAGTTGCTGGGAAGAGCATAGAAAAAACGCGCGTTTTCCGTTGTGAAAGTTACAACACACTTACAGGCACGTCAATATACACATACAAATAGACAGACACACACAAAATAAGACACAGAAACACATAAGAGCACGCGAATGTGTTTGGATGGTGTTGACGTTGCTTTCACTTTCGTTTCGCCGTTCAGTTCTCCTAGTTGCTGATGTTGTTGCTATTGCTGTTGTTGATGTTGTTTTGTCGAAAGTGCCAGCAACGCCTTGTTTGGGCCCGATGTTGTTGGCCCTGTGTCTGGTTTCAATACGCTGGTGATGATTGAATGGGTCCTGCCCCAGCCACTAATTAAATTTCCAGTTGTGGTTTCTTCTGCACTTATTTCTGGCCTACTCTCCGGGCGTCCGGTTGTTGAGCTGGTCCGGCACTCCGCCCACGCATGCACCGTGATTGGCTATGCGTCTCAGTTGTAGGCCGTCAATAAAATTGCACTCGCAGTCTGAAACAGAATGCGTCGTTGCAGCACTCACACACACGCACTACTATTCAGAGTCTGAGCTGTTGTTGCTGCTCTTCATTAATTGAACTGTTGTTGTTGCTCTTCATTAACTTCTCTCTGAATATGGATGGACTGTGCGGTTTCGTCTGTGACCACAATGTCTGCTTCTGCTTCTACTGCTGCTGCTGCTGCTGCTGCTGCTGCTGCTTCTGCTTCTTCTGCTGCTGCTGCTGCTGCTGCTGCTTCCTCCCTGGAGCTGGTTGCCTGCTGTAAACTCTGGCTGGGCTTCCTCCGCTATCGCACTGCTGTCTGGTTGAACGGTCGAAACTCGACTAACAGACGCTGCTCGGCGCGAGTCGCAGGTAAACTCTGTCTGAATGCGGCGGCAGCAGCAGCAGCAGCCGAGTCCTTGCCGAATCGCTCACGAAGCGGTGCTGAAAGCACTCGTTTGAGGACTAGGACAACACAAACATGTACAGACGCACGCTGGGAGCGGGACGGCTTTTGCTGCTGCTGCTGCTGCTGTGCTGCTTCTTCTGCTGCTGCTGCTGTGTTGCTGCTGTGCTGCTGCTGTGCTGCTGCTCGTGTCCTTCAACGTCCTACAGCAACAACACATTGCGCTGCGTCGAAAGGCCGACTCCACTGGCGGCAAAACGGCCCGCCAAACAGATGACAGCAGACAACAGTTAGCATCCCAACAGCCGAGCGACCCAGCAGCAGCGCACCAGAGCACCAGAGCAGCAGAGCAGCCGAGAAGAAGAGCAGAAGAGCAGAACGCAACTGCTGCGTCACTTTCACTCATCCTAGTTCTCACTTTCGATGGAGCTGAAGCCTTACGCTTGTTGTTGCTTTGCTCTCTCTCTGTCTCTCAGTACCTATCTCGTTCTCTCCGTAGCTCGCTCGTTCCTTCTCTCTCGCTGTCTCTCCCTCTCACTTTCTCCTTCGATGCTTAACTGGCGCTCTCCTGTGTTAGTAGGTTATATGCACACATAGCTGTGTACATAATGTATGTGGATATTCGTACTTGCAGTTGTCGTCGTCCTCCTCAAGCGCCCTGCCCCATGTCTTCATGTTGTCGTCGCCATCGTCTGTCACCGTTGTCTTTCACTTTCGGTGTTCATGTTTTTTGGGCAAAATACAAGTGCGAATCGGGGTCGGAGGCGCTGTGGGCGGCGTGGTGTATCTGGAGTCGGAGCTGGCATCTGGTATCGGGTTGGGTCGCTATCGCATCTATTGTTTGCACCACCACCACTGGCAGCATCTGCTCGGAGTCCGTTTTTCTCAGTGATAATCGGTAATAATGCGTTGTGTCACTATTCAAATGAACGTCCAGTGAATAAACAGCTTCTGGCACTGCCGAGGCACTTTATTCACGGAGCCAACGTGACACTCTTATTTGCCCACGATTATATGAGTAGTTGAACATGCTCGATTCAAATTATATACATCACGAATTAGAATTATTATACGTTTATCATGGCCAAAACAAAATATTCCCTCTTAATATTCATTTGAACTGTAAATGGAAATCGTTTGCTGTCGAGAAGGTCTAAACTTTTCAATTGAATTTTATGATTATCCAAATTTTGATTATTTCAAAGCTCAACATTTGTAGCTGCATGACACCCACACACACATACACACCCACACACACACACACCCACATGCATGAGCTCTGCTAACTGCGCAATTTACGCAGCGGCTGCGCTTGGGCTGCATTTTGAGCTTTGCCAAGGGAAATGAATTAGTGAAAAACTTTTGTTCTGAATGGACTTTCTTAATGAAATTTTCAGGTCGTTATAATGACATTCAAATGCTTATATTCCCCATATCATAGTCTCCTTTATTTGAAGTGTTTTATTTTTCAATTAGAGTCGCAGGGGATGAGGTAGAAATGTGGTTTTTTTATGGCATTCAAATTACGAGTAAAGAGAAAGGAGGCAAATAATCGATTATGATCGATAATAAGGAAGTGAGGAATTATCGATGGAGTTCAAAAATATATTTATATATTCAGCTGTAATCATGAAAATAATGATGTATTCCAAATTTCAAGTCTCTAGAACTTATTGCGCTTAAATTATAACTGAATTTGACACGCCCATAGTGGGCGTAGGTACAAAGTATCTTCGTCGCTCTGTACTAGATTTCAACAGTAAATTATGTGCCCAATGTTGTCTGTTTGCCACGACTTCAATGGGCTTCGATATATTTACTATATATGTATATATGTATATATATATATATATATATATGTTTATAAATATATATATATATATATATATTTATATTTAATGGTGAATTGCATATAGACCAAATCTGAAGTCTCTAGGATCTTCAATAAAGCGTTTCTCTTATACCCGATATGCCACGCCCCAAATGTTTGAATTGCGAACATTTTATGAGTTTTTAAGACGCGGATGGCAACGAGGATGCCAAATTTCGCTTCTTTAGTTTCAATAGCTGCGTAAAGGTTTGCGTTCATACGGTCAGCAGCGCGGACGGACGGACAGCAAGACGGATATGAACGAGTATAAACATAAATGGAAGATAAAGTGAACTTAAGTATATTCAACTTTTAAGTTTAAGACATAATTAGGTTATGTTTAAATCGACTTTTGAAGCTTGCTTGAAAAATTAAAAATGTGTGTTGTCTAATAAGCAGAAGAAGGCTGAGTTAAATATATGCCTGATCTATGAAACTAAACACGTAGACAGACAGCAATGTTGCATTACGAAAAGCCAGAGTACACAGCTATGCATAAGGAATCTTACAGCACTTTCTCTTCATCACCTGTGCGTTTTCATCATGCCGATGAAACTTCTTGTTCTTAACAATGATGCCCTAAAACCCCATGCGCCACTTTAAGCTAACACTTCAATGCTACTTAGAAGAGTTGCCTTATGTTTTACTTCAGAAAGCCACAAGGAATATGAATGTCAAGTGCAGCAAACTTGTGGTTTTTGGAGTGACACCTGTCCAGGTGTTGAGTAGCTCAAGGTGTGGTTAACACGAAATCTCACTGTCAAGAGCAGCAAATTTGCAAATGTAATGTTTGCCCACACCCGATACACCTGACCAGGTGACATTTCTGGTGGGCGTACATATCAGTGTCAACAGCAGTAAATGCGCAAATTGAATATTGCTTTTAAGTGCTCCCTGCTTGGGCTTAACATTACAAACGTGAGCCTGCATAAATATCAAAAACCATTGAAATTCACGATTCAATTCTATCAGCATGTTGCAATTCTATAAAAAGTAAATGCATTATTACATCAATTCATAGTTTTTTTGCTATACCCTGAACTCATTTCAAATAGAAGCAAAAGGTGTCTATATATTCTTGACAAGGACGATGAGTTGAGTCCACCTGGCCATACCTGTTTATCTATCTGTCAGTCAGTGAACGCAACAGTATCATAAGCCACAAATACTAGAGATCAATATATACTGAATTTTTTTTACCTTATCGATAAAGATCGATAATTTGTTTTGGTTTTTTAAGCGAAACTTAAATAGGGATTTCAACTTTAGTGGGTAGGTTCCAGTGATAACTAATTCGAATTTTGTATATCTAAAAATACGTTTTTAATGTCTACACCTGCATATTATTACAATCTAAATTTCATTAGCAAAGTCCATTCAGAACAAAAGTTTTTCACTAATTCATTTCCCTTGACAAAGCTCAAAATGCAGCCCAAGCGCAGCCGCTGCATAAACTGCGCAGTTAGCAGAGCGCATGCATGTGTGGGTGTGTATGTGTGTGGGTGTACTCGTTGTCTTGTATATATAAAGCAGAAGCAGAGAATAATTGAAAAGCAAGCTGAAGACTTTAGGCTATCTCTTAGTCGGACACTTCCGTCTAGAGCACTAGCAAACTGGGCTTTAGGACAGCAATCAAATGTGTAGCAAATATGGCCAATATATATACATATATATACATATAACTGTCTCATATTATGACACCATTACTTACCCACTTTCTATGTGAATACACTCTATTTAAAGAGTAAACATCTGTGAAAGTATGCTGCAAATCTTTTTGATCGCCGAACGTGTCACAAGTGAGCCACAGCAGCAGCAGCTTCAACGCTTCTGTTCATTTTCGAGCTGTCAGCAGTTGCTGTGTTTGCACTCGCATATCGTTCTGTTTCAACAAGCTTCAGTTGCTGTGTACCTGGTATTACGATTGAACGGCTACAAAAATATTCTGACCCCTTTGAGTTCGTTGGCCGGAAATTGTCTTTCGCTGACGCAGCCGGATTTCGCGAAATTCAACTTGCATATTGACTGTCAACAAAGTTGGCCTACTTCATTGGCCACGCCCATCTCGCACGTTACAATTGTGCATGTATGTGTCTGACACAGTTTAAAAGATTAGCCTAGACATTTTGATTATTAAATATTATATTGCTTGAATTATTTGGTATTTGATGTTTAGCTTTCCGAGGTAATGCACTGCGAAAATATTTCTTATATTCTGAATCAATTAAAAATACGAATGCAGTACAAAGTATATATAGCTTCAAGTCGGACACTTCCACTTTCTGAATTGTCTTATACAGAGCTAAGACGCTCACCGCAATTAAGGCTCGAGACTTGAATCTCCACAAGTGGACTTGAGTCAGTTGCAAATAGACCTATAAATTGAGTTAACTACTTCAGTGGAATCACAGTCAACATTCACATTATGCATTTCAAGGTCATGCTGCCCTTACTGGCACTCACATGGCCAGCACACCCACAGGTGCTCTCGTGTAGTTAGATTCACAAAGGAGCAATTAGTTTATGCTAGATGAAATTATACGAGCCAAACGCAATCTAGGCAGCATCCTGTTTGTGGCTATACGATATGTGAGCTGCTCTGCCTGGGTTCATATATTGGAATGCTAATTATAGCTACTCATTTAGCAGAAATTAATTGTGCTGGACTGAGACGGCAGGCTCCGTGCAACCCGATTCAAGGACAGCGAAAATTAACCGTGAGAGAGCAAACATTTTACCAAAGGAGATTGCATTACAGCGCTGTAACAAAATTACAAAATAAACAGTAGAGCAGTAGAGCAGCAGAGCAGTGGCGCTATGGAGCAGTGGAGCAGTGGAGCAGTGGCGCAATAGAGGCTCTGCAGGTGGCAAAGCGCTGCGCAATAAAATCGCATTCGTGTTTGCCATGACTACCTATGTATCTATTGACCGTAAGCCTCTTAGTGAACGGCAGAGCTCCCCTAATTGGTGCACCTATTGAATTATATGCACGCGTTGGCAATAGCAACAGCTGCAGGCGGCAGCAAGGGGTGCCCAAAGCAAAGAAAACAGCGCATTTATGGACTCGAACGGGCGGATCTGTCAATCAACAAACAGCGGACCACCTGCAACCACTTAGCGCGTGTGGGGCTTAGTGCACAACTAGAGCTATTATCATTGTCAGCTGGTGATTTCTAAGACTCGCCCAGACGGACGACGCTGGTGTTGTCGATGCCGATTGTGATTCGTGCTTTTGCATCCAAACGCAGTCTCAAACCACTTAAGCAGTAAGCAAATCAAACAAGCAGCTTGAAAGGGGCCTTTGTGCTGGGTGGTGGTTGGGCGTGGGTGGGTGCTGGGGCGTCTGCATTAGATGCTTAATCTAAATGCTGGCACCTCGTTAGCGGCAACCAAAGCTCTGCATATTGGAATCTAATGTCCTTGTGAGTGGCGTTAACTTGAAGCTGCAGTTCCTGTGCTTGGGCTGTGGGGCATGCCCTGCGCTTAGGTGCGCAGTTGTTGCCTGCGAGTCGTGTACCGCTGCAATAATAAATCAATTCTAAGTTCATTTCTTGTAGAAAATGTGTCGCTCGCCTCGTGGCCTGCAGCGTCTTTCAAGGCCTGGGCGTTTTCACATTCGGCTTCCAATTACACACAGCTGCGCTCGCAGATTCGCGCTTCATCTTGCTCTCATTCTCTTGCTCTTAATGTGTGTGTGTGTGTGTGTTTTAGACACACAGATACACACTCATACGCAGCAGTTTAAAGTGTATTCCACGGCTTTCGGTTTACGCCCGTTAAAGCCCGCTCACACTCCTGACCGTGACACCATTTCCATTGTTGAGCATCGACTCAGCCACAGCCCCAACAGTCTGGTTTAGAATCGCTTGAGCAGTAATGCGAGCCACACAGACACACACACACATATGATGTGACCTGCTGAAAGTATATATATATAGCATATATTTTATCAATTGGGCGACAAGCAGTTGACAAGATAAACGCAATTCAGGCGCAATTTCTCATTGCTCTCATTGTTGGTGATTAAAATAAATTTTATTATTATCATTTGGTGATTTGATTTAAGGCTCTATCTTGTACAACATTCATATACTAATACACAATGAACAAGTTTGCCATATGCATGCTATACAAACTCGCAAATAGTCTCTGCTTTTATATATACAATAATTGCCTGCACGATACTTGTTGTCTGCCGTGACACGCAGGCGGGCACGCGCTCATCTCTAATCCAAGCGGAGTAGGGAATCCAGCTCTCTAGGCAGGCACAGCGCACAAGACATAGCCTGCCATGGCTACACATTCGTACTGGCAATTAGATATACAGATATACAATTTTTCACTATAACATGCTAAAAATGCGACTTACTTCCCGAGCTGAAGCGTCTAATATTAGCTAATTGCCAAAAAAAAATTATGCTAATGGGTTTTCATTCTTCATTTTTGAATTGTTATTTTTTTCTTTTTTTCATTTGGGTTTTGAAGTCGTGTAATACTCAAGTTTTCATCACATTAATATAAAATGGATATGGGAACGCACAGATTCGAAAAACATGGGAGTACACAATAAGGACACCAGTGCAAAACATTATAGGCTACATTAAACATTAAATGAGAGGCCAAGTTAACAGTTAGCATACAAAGCTAATAACAAACTATGCCGCAGAATGTTCGACAAATCCAATCCAATCCAATCTATTTGGCCTAGTTTTGCAGGGCAGCACGCAGCAGGCTGTCCAATGTGAATTGGATTGTTCCGTTTGCAGACGCTTGCAGCACGGATGGCGGCTTTGGTAACGCCGGAAACTTTGCGGACGTACCCGCCTTCATTGGGGGATCCATGCTGCTGAGGCACTCCACAACGGTGGCTGGCAAGGGTGAAGCAGGCAATCCGGCGTCAGAGCTGACGGATGTATTCAGGGCATTGTTCGCGCCGCTGCCTTTGCGCGGCGGCGAAGGGGGCGTTAGGTGAAACACCGCATTAACGCCGTGCTTACCATTTGGTGTCTTCTGCAAAGCATCTAACGACACTTGCGACTCGGGCACTGCATCAGCTGCAACTGCAGCTGCGGCCAATGCGTCCACTTCCTGATTTATAGTAGGCACCTCTGCCGCTTCTGGATTCTGCTGCTGCGAAATAGCATTATTTACCTTGTTCCATAAATTGCTGATGGTCGCATCCTTGCCGGCAGCTGCCGTTCGTTTGGCAATTTTCTCAATAAAACTCTCACCCACGTTGCTGACTGGAGTGGTGTCCACTACATTCTGCTGACTGCAATCACTGCGCGTATAGGAAATGAGACGCGGGCGGATTTGCGGTCGCTCAGCGGGCAGCTCCGGAAGTGTTGCAGAGACGGCGCGCCCTTCGCTCACAAGCTTCAGCATAATGCGACGAGTAATGCCTCGCACCAGAGACTTCTTGTCCTCGGTTATATAAGGCTCCCATTGCTTTGGCTTCGACTCCTCACATACCGCTGTCTGTCCAGGCTGGCGACGCAGCTTGGCTCGCATGGACTCAACAGGAGTCAGTGCACCAGACGGATCTGGCTTGAAGCTAACAAGATCATAGACAAAATCCTTGTTGACAGCCTTGACGCGTTTGCGGATGGGTCGTTTCTCGGATCCGCGTTCACCAGTGTCTGGTGAAATTTGTGTGCGCGACTTGCGACGCTTTTTGCTGGCCACGGGCGGCTGTAATTGTTCATCTTCTGGTTCTTCCTTGATGATTAAGCCAGGAAATTCGGCTGTGGCAAGAGGCGAACTGGGTGCCATCTCTGGTACTGTTTCGGTAACAGTTTTGATACGTTTTAGCCGCCTCTCGTAGGTTTTCGGCGCTGGCTTTGTCTCCACAGTTAGCTCCCTCTCCACTGACTCCTCCTTGTCCAGGAGCACAATGTCTCCATCGACATCGTCGCGAGAATATTCGCACTCATGCGTGGACACATACTGCTCCGTGAGCTTCTCACGATCTCCCTCAATTTTGTGCGTGAAACCCAAGTGATTGACTATGTCGTAACGACGAAAGGCGCGATAGTCGCATATGGTGCAGCCGAACCGTCGTGCCCGATAGTGGAACATGGATATGTGACGCCGCAAGTTGCCAATCGCATTGAATGGTTTATTGCAGATCTTGCAGCGGCAGCGTAGCTGATTCTCAAGTGGCACATTGCGTTTTTTCTTTATTTTCGGCTTGGTTTCATCAATGTTCGTCTGCTCGTCCAGTTCACGCTCCTCCCGGTCATCTTGTTCGTCCTCGCTATTTGACGCCTCATCGCTGGTTAAATCGCTCTCATGCTGCAGCTGCAGCTTGTCCAACGACACGGTCCGCAGCTCTGGTACATAGTTCTCATTCTGCTCGGCTAGGCCGGCAAACATTTCATTTAGCGTAGCGGGGTCAATGCTCTGCATATCCACCGACACAGAACTGGGATTCTCGTCGAGCATATCAAGATTGGATACACTGCCACCATTAGAGTTTGATTTGAACTTCTTTACGGCTGGTGCTGGTTTCGCCAACGCTTCTTGCTTGGCGCGACAGTTGAGCAGATGCGTAGAGAGTGCCGCTCGACGCTCAAAGGATTTCTCGCAGTAAATGCACAAAGACATTATCTTGCGCTGCTCGCCGTTCGCATCTGTATGCTCCGTTGCGTGTCCGACAACATCGTCGGAGAGCTGCAGCCGTTTAAGTTCACGGCTTGGTCCCTTTGGCTGAACATCACCCTGTTGCTTGCGGCGCTTCAGGATCGTGTTACGCATCATGCGTATACGTCGCGTTGGTTTTCTGGGAATATGAAATGAAAATTTAACCATAGTTCAGAACGTGTATCTAGCATACACACTTATGATCCTTAGACAGGTGACGTATGACAGCTGCTGCCTGCAGAAAGGTAAGCGAGCAAGCCGGACACTGAAACACAAACGCAGATGACGAATGATGCTTCTGTATGTGCAGCTCCAGTGTCTTTTGCGTCTGAAAAGTCAAATTGCCTGCGACATCGACATGAAAGAAGGAAAAAATGGAATAAGTGCAAAGCCTACTCGTTTCAAGTATAATCTTAAGGTATTTTACATATTTCACAGAAGATGTTTGTTTCTGCTTCATCGCTGACCGACTGCTCTGCAGTTTCTGCCGAGTCGCTGCCACTCGGTCGCTCGTACTGATGACTGTTCAATGCTTTGCCATCGGGTCCCACAATGGTTTGTTCAGGATTGAGCATGTGATGAACTTCATTTAGCTCTGTTTTAATGCTGTCATCCTGTTCGATCTTTATCGTCTGGTAGACCGCCTGACTGGAAGTGGGCACCGACTCCAGCTGCAACACTGGCAACAGCTGCTTCACAGCAGTTGCTGGCGCTTTCTCGCGACGCAAGCGTTCAATGACGCCGCTCAAATCACGCATGCTGCCGCGTAAGGAACGAACCTCTCGCGGCACTGGGGAACAGCCTGTGCTGCGACTCCGAAGCATGTGCTCGATATCTTGAGAGGCTGAAGCCTGAATTATCATGGTAGAGTTTTGATCCTGCAAGCAAAGCGAGTTGGTAATATACAAAAGCAAACCAATTGGAGTCTTAAATTGGACACTGGCTTTACGGCTAACTCACTGTGCGTCCGGTATTATGGCTCGTTAAACGAGCACTGATGCAGCAGAATACACGTTTATGGCTAATGAAATTGGCCAAGCTGCGAAACATATTGCGACACACGTTGCACTCATAGATGAGGCTGCACTCCTCGCTGAGCAGACGACGCACCTGCATAAAGCAATGGGACACGCTTTAATGATTGGATTAGGTAACAGGGCACGCCCACACTCTACCCAATTCACACACACACACACATGTATACACATGATGATAGAAATACAATGAAAGCTGCTAGAGTTACACTTGTTTTAATTGGGTGTAAGCTTAAAGAGATAGCTAAGATAAGTAAGAAAATAAATGTCTTCATCTTTTCCATATTGCTAAAACTTTTCTTTTCTATGGAGTCATAAAAACCCAAACGTTCCATACGTCATAGATAAATAGATAGCTTTTTGTGAGTAAGACATTTGATTGGAACTGAAAAAGTTGGCTTTGGATTGGAGTAGTCGGCGCAAAGGAGCTGACAGTTTTTGAGCCTTCATCTTACGCGCATAGTTTGTTTATATTACGCCATTTGTGGACCTAGTTGGGTCACGTACGCAGCTAGCTTTCACGCTTACGCCTTTTAGCGCTTCCGCTTACCTCGCTGGTGCCGTTCTCATAGGCGCGGCGGGCTTCCTCGAAGCCCGTGTGAGCTGTTTGGAGTGGTCGCTGCAACAGGCTTAAGTCGTTGCCGTCGTCCTCCATCTTCTGTGTATCCGAATTGCAGCGTGAGTTACGCTTCTTCATGATTGTGGTCAGTTTATTGTTCCCGCTTGGGAAAACCTGCTGTATTTGTTTGATTTAAACTGAGTTTCACTTGTACGCACTCATGTGCGTCTTGCACTTGCTTAAATGTTATTTTAATTTATTAAAATCAGATTTTAAATTCCAATTTACGCATGCATATTGCACATTTCTTTAGTATTGCAGTTTTTGCTTATTTTTGTTCTCGCTATATTGAAAGAGAGAATTTATCTCGTTTAATTCTGTTCTCGCTCGTGTGTATTTCGATGTTAGTCAACACTGCTTGCTTAGCAACATGCTGCGTGCACGCTGAATACATTTATGTGCACGATGTTTCCTATCGATATGTGTCCCACACAGCAACTCTGTAAACTCTGTAGTGCGCGCGCACTTACGTGCTGTAAATTGTTAAGTGTTGATTTGAAATAATTCCCACCAAATCTGACTCATATAAAATTGTTCAGTTCTACATATATTTTAGAAGATTTATTCGCTCAAGCTTGTTGGTTGTTGACAATTTGTTTTGTAATACATTTTGTTTATTATTCATTTACTAATGCTAGACAAAGTTAGTGTTTGTTATTATTCACGAATGCATAATTTATGATGTTTGGTTTTGTTTTCTATTTTCATTTTGAATTTGTTTGTAAAAAGCGTTTGTCATAAAATAAAGTGGATAAATATTTGTTTGCACTGCTGTTTACCGTAGTTTAAGCTTGGTATGTATATGTATATGCATATTTATATATGTATATATAAATATATATACATATATTATTATTGTTTCGAAAACACAATTATTTGTATACATATGTATTTGGAGAGATAATTATATATTATTTATTTACTGGACTGTTCCAATCTACACTTGTTTTAAGTTTTCGTGATAGTTAATTGAATTTTTGAAAATATACGCTTTTGGTATCTGGTATTTGGTGTAAATAGCATGTGGCTTCATTAATATTATCTCATTTAATTGTGTACATTTATAAGCAGAAATGCTACATATTTATGAATGTATTTATGTATGTAAATATATAATCTGTTACATTTTTATTGAAATACATTATTTGCATTGTAATTTAATGTTAGACGCACTAAACGCGCGACAGAAGAACTTGAGTTGACTTGATTCGCTAGCGATAAACGTTTGCCTTTAGCAATTTCCATTGGCTGCTGTTTTTGTTTTTCTTTTATTTTTTTTTTTTTTTTGTTTGTTTATATTTTATGATGAGTAAATTTGTATAAAGGTTAAGGTAATGCGTTTATCTTTAGTAAGGCACTAGTTGCACGCTAGGCACCCCACTCTCCACATATTTGAAGCATCATCAACCAGAGTCCGGGCCCTCTGCTTAACGTGCAACTACTGACTACGACATACAAATCCCTCTTCCATAATCCGATCAAAGTTTAAAGCTTTTACGTGTACAGTTACATTTAGCGTATTCTTTACATTTAGTTTTCACTTTTTACTTTTAGTTCTTGTTTCTTCTTCTTTTGTTTCTTTAGCTAAACTGCCAAACTAAATTGTTTTTGCAAAACAAGCAACGATGCCTACTAAAGATAATATGAAGGAGGGTCTGGGATCAATCTCGATATGGAGGGATTAGCCACTATTTGACTACAGTTTATTATTTATATATTATATAGTATGGATGTATTGGGGCTTGTCTGGTTGGTAGGTTGACGGTTTGTGTGTACGTTTAGGCTGATAGTTTACTGTATTTGTTGACGTGGTTAACACAGGATATCATTATCATTATCATTATTATAATTCACTTGTTGCGCACTCTTCGGTCTGACCGCGCACACATACGGACAGAGAGAGGCTAGTTATACAATATCTAACCTATATTGTTACATGTAGCATCATTGGGGAGAGAGATAGAGAAAAAGAGGAAAGAGAGTTTTTATAGTTAGCGCTCGAACTTGCTTAGTACAATTGATTTTTTAGTTTCATTTGATTACTGCCCCATGACAGACTATAGCTAGGTTTAATTTTAACATATCAGTTACATACAAATTGGGGGAAAATGCAACTGCAGAGGCTGGTCATATTGCAAGGAGCTAGTCCAGACATTCTTTGCAACTCTTATGCGCAAGCAACTATGTTAAAATGTTGTATCAAAATCCTGTTTTAGAATGTCATGTGCACGTTGCATGTTCAATGTATGTGTGTGTGTGTGGAAGTGTATCTCTGTGTGTCGGTGTTATGCGCAAAAACACTCAGTTACATACACACGCAAGGGGCGTGTATGTATGAGCATATATTTTATAGTTTACAAGCAATTTTTGAGTTGCTAACTTCGATTGCAATTGGCATTGTGTCTTTGTGTATGTGTGTGGGTGTAGGCGTGTGTGTCTGGGAGCACATGCATAGCAGGACTAACAACTAGATACACAAGTGCAGGATGGCTACTACTCTATGGTATGGTATCTCTCAGCTTCTAATATATACTAATATTAGGCATACAATTTAACCTAGATAGACATGGATGCTTGCTTAAAATTTAAAATCTGGTTTTTGTTTTTATCATAATTCAATTAAATTAAAAGTTTGTTTAAGGTTTATTATAAAATTTCACATTGTTTAAAAAGGTTGTCATGATTTTTCGTTCTGTTACATGTTATATATGTACTGTTGATGTTGTGTATATTTGTTGTGAAAATGTGTTATGCGCCTATTGCTTCCGCTTGGGCATGTACAATGAGATTCGCATTTTACTTACATAGGTTAACTCGTATTACAAATCATAAATTAAACATTAACTAAACCATAAGCTGACAATAAAATGTACACTTAAAATCGAACATATACGAAATAAAACTTATAACTTAGCGAGCAAGGAGATATTTTAAAATGAGCTTAAATCATAATCAGATATATGCGTGTGTATGTCGAACATAGGCATAAAAGTTAATTAAGAATAGTTGTATATTTCATATAATACATAAGGCCTTGATAGGGATGTTATCGAGTTCAATTCTTAAAATGTACATAAAATTGTTTTCATATAACGCTCTGCCAAACTGAAAAGCCAATCCGTTGAAAATTCTTTTAGTGTGTGGCATATGGATGAGGAGGATGTGGCGGATATGGCTAGTGAGCGTGCCTTTTTATATGCTGTGAGGCGTGTTCCTTGTGACACATATAATACAGTTCATCATAGATGTATGTATGTATGTATGCGGGTGTGTATGTATGTATATATTTATAGAAATATATTTTTATATGCACGCAAGTATAACAACATGTGCTAAACATATGCAATATTTTTATATTAGTTTGGTATCGTTTTAGTTTTCGAATTGTCTTGTTGCTGTTTTTGTTGTTGTTGTTGCTGTTTGTTTGTTGTTGATATGTTTTGTTTGCGACTGTATTGTTGTTTATTGGCATATTTCGATATTGTTTCAATTTTTATACATTATGAATAATGCGCTTTTGTTTAGTTCAAGAACTTTGCTACTGTTATCATTATGAGGTTGGCCAACATGATGCAAATGCTTGATTCTGGCAAATAGCTACCTCCGCTAACAACAACGTCTTTCTCCTGCAGCAACGGATAGTCGATGACATGTATGATGCCATTGGTGCACTCAACATCCGGCCGATATACGTTTATCTTCTTGAAATTCCACGTGATCACATATCCTGCAATTAGATTTTGAAAATGTTAAGAACATTCTTTGTAGATTTGAACTGAAAGTCTAAAGGGATATGCTATGGAGCATACGGTGAGAGTTATGTTATGCTTGGAATGGGGCCACTTTTGATGGCTGTGGTGGGTGGCTAGTGCGATTGGTTGACAAACTGCAACACTCACCAGTCCATTCGTGACTAGCATACTCATCATGTAGATCTTTTACATATATTGATTTGGAGTTGGTTAAATACAAAGCATGAGATTTTGGTAAAGTCGAAGAGAAACAACATAAGTTAGTACAGATTACGGTACCAATAGCATCGAATCGAAATGGGTGCCCTAGGTGGTTACAACTGAATAAAACTTACGTCCAGCCTCCTCGGTGACCTTCATTTTGAGCGAATCGCGGAACGTGGGCAACACCACATTGTCGGTAGTAAGAGACATTTGTGCCAAATCTTTCATGGTAAACACGTGGTCCGCAATGACTAGATGACGTTCCAAAATGTATTTCGACTGGGGAGAGAGAGTAAGGCAATTGTAAGACCTGTACTTGGCGAAGTGAATGTCAGCTTACATGATAGGCAAAGTCACGCATGAAGAGCTTCTTGTGTGCCGAGGGATAGTCCAGTTCAGTCTTCTGCCAGCCCTTGTCGCGGGGCACAAAGAACGTGTATCGGCGCTGGGTATTATTTAGCTGATCATTAAAGTTCGAGAAGTGGCCCATTTCGTAGGTAGCTCTGTGAGGACAACAGTATTAGTAACAGCAGTAAACAGCTAACAAGTAGGATTTACTTCATCATGGGATCGGTTTCCAGCTTGCCCAACACAGTGGTATGTGGCACACCCAGCACATGATCAATGATGTGCACATAGCCATTGGTCTGCGCAACATCGGCTTGCAGCACGGTGGCATTAACGCCGCCACCTTCAACGGTGATCTTAGCATCAGCGCCCTCGCCATTAATGTTAAAGTACAGGAACGTTCTATTATTCACGGTGGGCACCTGGGCGATCTGGAAGCATTGACATCAACTTAGAATTTGAGTTTCAGTACTTTTTAAAATAGATTCCTACCATATTGGCATTCTTTTGTCTGATCTTTTCGACGTTCAAGCGCTCCTTGATGATGTGCATATTAAGAATATCAGACATCCTCTGGCGATCTCTGTGAAGAACAGTTTTAGTTTAGATTTGGGCTCATTTGGTCTGTCAAGCAGCTTACCTAATAATATTGTCAATAGACGAAGTGTTCCAAGCTTCATTGCTGGGTGCCAAAATCGTTACTTCAGACAGATTGTTAATGCCATCCAGCACTGCGCCACCAGCGTCCATGATCACCTCCAGGAACTTGCGCAGGGCTCCGTTCTCACCGTTGTCCTTCAAAATAGAAACATATTGGTCAGGATTAAATGTTATTATATATCTATAAATTTATATATACTATTATATCTGAAGTGGGGTTAGAGCGCTTTAGCAATGTCGAATGGATTCTACAAACAGCAAACATCTATATAACTTTGATATATTCACAACATTTATAATGTTTATCAGAAAGAAGTGATAAGAACAGAATGCAATAAACGAAATGCCTAAGGATCATTCAGCCAGAACCTGAGATAATCTAAGCAATTGTTACTAATGAAATTCACTGTGCATCAAATCAAGAGGTCTAAAGATCAGCTCTTGATTTGATAATACACTAGTTGGGCATGAGAGGCATGAGAAATAAAACTTTTAAATTGAAATATGTGACCAGGCGGCGATTGATGGTGTGTGGCAACTGGCTACTGGCTACTGGGTGAGGTCCATGGGCAAACTGATGAATGTGGTGATTCAATTGATTGTGTTATACAATTACTTACGTTCATAAACTAAATCGGTACAATCGTTGTACAACGGTTGCAAGTAGTAGTAGTAGTAGTAGTAGTAGTAGTAGTGGTAGTAGTAGTAGTAGAAAGAGCGTTATAAATTCGTATTCAATGTTAAAAATTGAACAAAAGTCATAAGTATTGTGTGGGTGTGCGTGTGTCGGTATACGTTAACGAGTATTTTTCAGGTTCCGCGCAGTGTGCAAGTTCCGCCACCGAGTTGGAATATTTGTTTGAAAAAAAGTATTAGGGAAATAGATTTTATTCACTTTGTTAACTGTTGCGGAGTTGGGTTAATAGCTAGATCGTAATTTCGATTTGGCAAGCATAGTCTTACAGCTTAAACTAATCGTTCTTTAATATAAAATAAAATTAAAAGACATAACTAAAAGCTGCCTATTGTACTTTAACTTAGCATGCAGTCATTCCATTATTGTAGCATCTATTATGATTGTCCGTAACTTTTTTTATGCAGGGATTGAGATCAGTCTTAACTGTCGAGCTGATGTGTCTACATTGCCAAGGGGCTTAGCTTAGTTCAATTTATTTTGATTTCGTAATCTGTCGATTTGCCGCAAGAATCAAAAGTTTATATAATATTTCATATATTTTAAGACATCTCTATTAATATCGACTCTACTATATCTTTATATTTTTTGATAGAGTTGAGCTCTGAATTGCTGTCCTATTTAATTTAAATTGAAACAAACTTGCTGCAAATTAAAAAACTACCTATTGTATGGCCTTGGGTCTTATTTCTTTAATCGTTGTCTTGCCAAAGAAAGTTTTCTTTATTTAAACAGCTGTAATCGAAGCAGCTTATCAAACTCTAAAACACATGCATAATTCTAATTGAAAATCATATTTAACTGTGTCTGTTTTTAGTGTTTGTTTGTTTCTTGCATTCAAAACATGCTGAGTGCTTCCATAAAATCGAACAAAATAAAAAGGAAATTAGAATTGAACTACGAACTCAACTTTAGAGTAAACGTAAAGGTTCATAATGTATACCATATATGTCTGTATAGCTAACTGCAATTAGAATTGTTTACCTTGAACGACTGCGGAATGTTCAGATTTCAATTAGTGAGCGATATGGGATTTGCATGTACGAGAAACAGAATATAGATCAGTCGGTCAGTAAGGCGAATATGAGGCGTGTGCGTATTACAACAAAACGCTAAGCGAACAGTTAGAAATGTTATAAACAATAAACGGTAAGATGAGCCGACATTGACTTGATTGCGTTCGAATGCATAACAATGTATATAATGTATTATGTATATCGGATTATGGCTGCGATCTCTGTCATGAACGAGATGCGTCTACAGCTAGAGAAATACTTAAGTTTATGTTCAAAGCATGCCGACTGAGCGATAGATCGGGCGAGCTGCGAGCTGATAGACGAGTTTATATATATATATGAAGAGCTATTAATGAAGGAAGGCAGGACAGAGCGTGGTTCACCAATGCACTTGATCGAGAAATATGCAGGAGGTGTGAATGAACTTTTTTTCTCTTTTTGACTTGCGCAACTTCAAGCAAAGCTTTAATAATTTGCCGTGTGCCAATTAATTGTAATTTTGCAATTTTGTTTATCGAATCTAAGCGATTTGCTTGCAATTGTCACAGAATCGAATTATGGCGCGGAGCTGCAGTTTGAAGACAAAGCATTTGCAATGAAAATAATTTTGATAATTGTGCCAATTAGCGCCGTGGAAATTGCAGCTCATGATTTTGGTTTCATGATTTTAGAACATAGAAGATAGAAATTTGGTTAATTTACATTAAATACATTGCTTTTTCAATTGTTTTTTTTTTTTTTTTTGGTTGATTGATTGTTGGCAATACTTACATTACACCCAAAATTTTTTTAAAATAAAATTTGTATTTTAAAAATTATTTTAAAATAAAATTTTTCTTATGATTTTACATGAAACCGAACCAATTAATATTACGTGCAAAATCTGTTCAGCGATTGGTCGAAAATAGACTTTACGCTAATCTCTAGATCTCAGAAAGATCCTAACAATTCAGTTCTATGTAAAATCAGACTTTGGGCTTTCGTTTTGGCAAGTGTAGCTATTCAGTTTTTAAGATCAAGCGTTGCCTTATAATTTATATACATACGTTTCTGTATATCTATGTGTGTGTGTATGTGTATGTGTATGTGTATGCGTGTCTACTGTTAATGTCAAGTTTATGCTGCTATTTGATACTTTTGTTTAGACTTTGCATATAGAAGAACGCTCGAAATCTGAGGCTCTCAAGCAGACGCACGCCACTTATTCCTGAAGAGCGCAGCTCAGCTAAATGCAAAGTATTATAGCGTGTATATATATGTGTGTATGTGTGTGTGTGTTTGCATTGTGTAAATGTGTTTGTGTGCTTAAGCGCTTGCTGAGGCAGCTGGCACATGCAGCCACCCAGAGCTGAGTGATGAGCCAATCAAAATGCCAAGCCTTATCGCCAGTCATGGCCACTGTCTATTTAGTACTATCTGTGTGGGTGTACGTATCTCTGTTTGCTATTTACGACTGGGTGCTACGCCCACCTACCTGTAGAAACTGTGTGACGGTCGTATCGATGATCATAAGCGGTCGACGAATCAAATGGATGACACCATTTTTCACGGGTATATTGGCCTTGACAATCTCAGACAGGACCACGCCCTCCGGATGCTTGGCATCGCCGACAATTGTATTGGACTTGACATACACTGCAAGGGAATGAAGTGAATGAAGGACGAGAACTTCTCCATTTATTTATCTCACTTTTGCCGTCCTTTTGCTTGAAGAAGCTGACTGTGACCTTCAGTTGATCCTCAAAGGCAGCGGAAGTCTTGGGCTCGTCATGTTGCGAGGCGGCAGTGAAAATGACAGTGTTCGGTATAACATGACCGTCGATGACCTTGCCGTCCACCAAACTGCTGCGGGTCGTAATCTACATGAAATAATAATGCAAATGATGAAGTAAATATTTGAGCAAGCAAATATACTGTCTAATGTCTAAACGTGCCTTGAAGCCCTCATCCACGGGCAGCAGGAAGGTGTGCGCTCCCGGCGCCATGTACAGCGATTCCTTCTTCATGAGCGCCATTTGGGAGCGATAGGTGCGCAGCTTGTTGTCGCCGACAGTCAGCTGATCGGCCTTTTGTATAAATTGCAGGGCATCGAGATTATTAATTTCTGTCTTGGCAGTGGGCAGCGAAGTGAGTGGTTCCAGGACCTCGTCAATAATATGCATGACCTGCACAATAAATTAATTACAATTTTGAGCTTACTATACATGCAAAACTATTGTATAAATATTCAATTGCCAGCCTGGTCACTGACCTGTCGCTTGCCCTCGCGGTTTGTCAGCTCGACGCTGAGCGAGGGTATGATGCGGGCATTGTTCACATAGATGTCACCATTGCGGCTCTTTGTTATGTAGAGCGGTGGATTGCCGTCCATGTCCGATGACACGGTCTTTTCCAGCTGATCTTTACTGAACGCCGCCGTGGCTAAGCGTGGGAAAAATACATTTTAATTAAATAAATCACATGAATCACTACTGGGTAGGCAAGTACTCACTGATGTGGTAGAGGACATGGGTGGGACCCTTGTGGCGCTGGAAGGCTTCGTTAGTGGGCACAAAGATGGTGCAGGAGCGCAGCGAGAGCGTCGAGTTGGCAACAGGATTCTGCTCCAGCAGACTGTAGAACTGCAAGCATAAATAATTGTAATTGTATGTGTGAGTGTGCATATTAAACATTGTAGGACAGTGTTCTCAGCATGCTTTGAAAATATCGAACCAAACAAAACCATGCATTGGGTACAGAGAGACAGAGAGAGAGAGAGAGAGAGGTGAACTAACGACCTGTGTGCCATTTTTATTTGCAATTCCATGGCAACGTCAAACAACTGTTAAAACTATGCAGAGCCTGGTCGCCCAGCGAAAAAAGGTTTATTGAACCAATTACGTAAGCGGGCGCAGCTCGATGTGGCCCGTTCGTTTGTCCTGCGCCCATTTCAATAGCAAAATACATGTATCCTAAATTGTCATGTGTCATTATCGAGCGCGTGATGTCGATCAGGACACTGGCAGTGTCACATGTTGGAAATTCATTTTCCAGGCGCAGCTACCCTATATAGCAGACGCTGACCCTTTTGGGCCAGCTACCACCTGCCTGGCGACACATGCGACCGCACACTTTGCGGCTTCCCAATGTGGCACCACCAGCACCAGCACCAGCACCACCACCGCCACCATGCGATGCTTCGCCTGCATCGACACGCCCTGCTGCACATTCCCAGCCAGCTTTATGAGTGCTATGTAGCTCACTTTTTTTCCAATTGACCGTCTCTCTTTCGGTGCTTGTGTGTGTGTGTGTATGTGTGTGTGCGTGTGCATGTCCTGCACCTTTTTTCGTTGTTTTGGTGTTTTTCGTCCTGGCATAGCCGGTGAGTCACGTCAATTTTATTTTAAAGGCTGCTCGCCGACCCTCGACTCGCTGCTCGTATCTTGCTTTGAGCTACGCCATCAAAAGACTTTTTAGTAATTGGAGACGCCAGTTGTCGCTATCGAAGCAAATTTTGTTGTTCGGTTTCCATTTCGCTTTCTAAGCACTCTCCCTTATCTCTTTGCTCGTAAGAGAATGCGCTTATTGGTTAAGTGAACTGTGGCCAGCCGGGACTGGATACCATCATGGCAACTGACTCCTGGCTAAGTGCACTTAAATATTCACTTTACAGCTTAAAGCCAAGCGAGTGTAAGAGCCGATACCACAAGAAAGCTTGCCTCAAACTGTATTGATTTGCTGCTAGTCTAAGTAGTTCTCTGTTTTAATAATATATTCAAAGAGTATGAATATTATTTACTATTTTATACTTTATAGAACACATATACACAGTAGTAGAGCTTATATAAATCGTATATTCAATAAATAGTTATGAAAATAAAAAAGATCAAAGCATTAAAACTGAAGCTACTTTAACTGTAGATAAAATGAATATAATACATATAACATATATAATTATGTAACTAAGAGACATTATCTCTGATGAAGTAGTCGATCCGTTAGCAAATACACATATAATTGAATGAGCTTTGTGAATAGGCCATTAATAACATTCAAACACAGAAAACTAGTGCAAAGCGTGCCATGGCTATTGGAGGAACTTGAATAGAAGCTCTGATTGGGGCAGCTGATGTGACCGATGAGGCAATTCAGTTGCAATTACTTATTTGCATGAATGTGAAACATAATCAAATGCTAGGCAGCTCAATCTAAATGGGTATCAGAGATATAATCCTGTCAGCTGGGCTGTCATCGTCCAGTCATTGCTCCCCTGGGTGTACCAACTGTCAACAGTAATTCATTACCAACTCCCATTGCCAAAAACCTTCAAGAGCGGGGCACACGCACACACACACAAACACAATGGAAACGTTTCTTAAATGGCGCTCATATTTATGCAGATGAAGGGAGAGACCCTTCGAGTAGAGCGCTTGACTGTTTCAAAAATGCATTTGATTTTCATGCGCAGCTCGCTGGGCCATTGAACTCTGCTGGGCAGTGGGCAAAGAGAGAAAGAGGCTAGAGCTTGTAGTTGGTAACTGGCTGAGAGCTGATGTTGGTCTGTGCCACCCTCGGTGCCCATTCCAACTGAAGTCAAGGGCATCGTGAGTCAGAGAGCCAGACGGCGGTGCAAACAAATTCGGCTAATGCAGCCAGAGTGCTGTTCACTGCCAACCCCTGTTAAGGCGTGGGCGGGGATGACGCCCAGTCAGAGGCAGGGACAACCCTTATTTCAAACTTATTAACGAAATTAAGGCAAAAACATGTAACGGTTTTTTCTCTTTTACGCTTCTAAAGATAACAGTTGTTGTAGTGAGTGTTATAGTTGTTGTTGTTGTTGTTGTGGTTGCAGCTTACCCTAACTGGCATAAGGCGCTTGAAGCTTTTGGCAGTGCTCTGAAAGAGATAGAGAAAGAAGAAAGAAAGAGAGAACCGCTTGCAGTTCAAATTTTGTTTCGCAACTCGCATATTTTTTGTGTGTTTTAGCCAAATTTATTCATTTGTCCTAGACGGGGATTAAATAAGCTACGAGTACGGGGCTGTGTGCATGTGTGTGTATTTCTCTCTCTGTATGAGTGTGTGTGTGTTTGGTGTTATTTTAAAAGGGCCTGGGACAGACAGGGTATCAAAGTTGGGCAGCTAAAGGGGTAAATGCTACACATAAAACGGGACAAAACAAAGCCAAAAAGCCTCAACTTCAAACGATTGTTCTAAGAGCCACGAAACGTCGCCCGGTTGTAGCTGATGCATTAAAGTTTGGTCAAGATATCATTGAAAACATTGAGCTATGTGATATGGCAGTCAAATATGAAACGAGATTGGCTTGGAAAATAATAAAACTTAATCTTTGATCTGTGGTTCAGTATATAGTATTTATATACATGTTAACTGCAAGTAGGGTTCATTGGGCATGGCATGGCAACTGTTTGACGGTCGACATATCGACTAGGCAGTTGATACCAATCAAGTAATTGTACAATTAGGGGTCGCAGATGTCTCCTTTTATGCGTGTTGCCCAGCTTCCTGAGCAGCAGTCATCCATCAGCTGCAGCAGTTGCATTGCGGGTGTTTTTTGTGTACTCAAATTTAATTGGTACAAATTATGCATATATGTACATACATATACACATGTTAAAGTTTTTGGTATATAATTGTTTCAATCCCCTCGAGGCATGTCTTAATTGGTGTTGAAACAGCAGCCAGAGTGAGAGACGTTGTCGGCGGTGGATGGCTTCGTTCGCTTGTCAGTTTCGCGCCCGTAATGGATCTCTAATGCATCTCGCACAGATCTTTGAGTAATTGTGCATATGTGTGTGCGTCTCCATAGGCTCCATTAAGGTCAGTCGCTCATTCACGTTCAGTGCTTTGTAATAGTTTTATTCGTAGTCGTAGAATAAGAAGCTCACATAACGTTGCAAGCTGCTACATATCACGCGTCGCGCCATGGATTGTATAAGTATTGTAATCTTAAATTAAATTTAATTGAATTCGATGCTGTCGTTGATGGTCCAGTTGATGTGCATGTATACAACAGGGTTTGTGTGTGAGTCTGTGTGTGCCTAGGTCGTTCAGCGCTATTGAGCATATGCCGCCCACACACTGACGCACACACATGCCACAAGCGTGCCCCAACCAAGCCTGAATCGTTCTCAGTCAAAGGTTAGAAATTAAAATGAGAATGATAAATATAAATGCAATGTGCAGCAAAGATGACGTCGCAACGTCACGAGCCGCACACTCAGGACAGGAAGTTTGGGGTCAGCCCAGGAGGTCAACCATACAACGCCCGCACATAGCGGCTGCAGAGAACTCGAACTACAGATGTGCTCTTCTATTCACATGCAGCCCATCCTTAATGAGTTTCGATGGAAGCTGCTCGCACATCTCTTCGGAAAGTGAGATAATTTGTAATTACAATAATAGCTTCATGTGTACTAAGAAAATTTACTTGATATTTGTATGGATCGACTCAAGTCTTGAGCAATGAAAGCAAATAGGCGCAAAAAATAATCCAAATTTTACAGATTTTAATAAATTATATGATAGATTACTCCAAACTTAACTACTGTGATTAGCTACAAGGAAAATGATTCTAATTTCTAACCACTCGACATAAGGTTAGTTTCTTCTATATGAATTATGCCAGAACATAGCAAATTGAGTTTCAAATGTCTCACAAAGTTCTATCTATCCATCTACATCTAATAATAGTACTTGATTCAAAATATATCGAGTTATCTAAATCATTAGATCTTAATGAGTTTGGCTCAAAATGAGCACATCTGAATACTGATTCAATTGCCCGAAAGCAAAAGTTTTTGCTGTAAATTATGTGGCTGAAGAGGTTTTCTTATTTATAGTGTATAAGAGACAACTGCAGAGTCCTACTTGCAGCAAGATGGTGCCGCTAACCACCCATCAACACGCTCTGTTTGGCCATAGCTGTAGCTTCAGCACTTCATACATATGAACGTAAGGTAACAACTGCTCAGGTAACGGCAAAGGTACTGCATATATCATTTCATTGTGGCGACAATTACAGGTGAGGCAGCTCTCTGTGAGCAGCTCGCACGCTTTCTTTTCAATTGTGAAACTAAGTTTTGCTTGCTGCTTGCTTTTTAAAATGTTCGCTGGCTAACAACTATTTTTGGGTATTAAATGCTTAACAGAGTAGAACGCCAGACGGACGGACAATTGCTGTTGTAGTTGTTGTTTGGCCTTTAATGGCTTCTGACTTTTTACACTTTTATGTGTTGCCCATATGCCTGTGTTGAAGGTGTAAAAAGGCAAACATAAATATGTAGGTAGAAAACTGTTATGCTCTGTCGACGGCAACGACCGGCTCCCGCTTGGGTGTGTTGTTGTTTTTGCATAATTTATTTAGTTTTTATTTTCTTTTATGTAATGGGCTCAGCATGCATACCAAATGCGGTCGCATTTGGACTTTGGTCGCGGTGCGGCCTAACGTGGATTTTTGGTGAGCATCGATTTTTCCCAGCAACAACAAGTGTAAATGTTAAAGGTCAAGGACGTGCAAGAAGAAGCAGTCAGCAAGCAGCTGCAGCTCACAGCTACCTGTGCGGGTGTACTTTTGTCTCTCTCTCTCTCTTGCACTTCTCTTTTCGCTTATCAACTCTCTTTGTCCAAGGTTTTTCGTTTCAAGGACAATTGCTGATAGGCTTGACCAAATGTCGCCTATAGGTATGTGTGTTGGCCAACAACTAATTGCATAGCACAACTAAGGTATACAAGTGTGCATGTGTGTGTTAACGTGTGCGTGTGAACAACTTTAAATACGCCTAAGAAACAGCTGGTTAAGCACCTACAGAAATGTGTTTTCGGCTTTGGGCTGAATATTTACTGTGTTCTTGTATACTGACTCACCTGTGAAAGTTCCGAATCATCGCGCAATTTGTCCGCCAAATCGGCGGCAGCTGCATGCGTTGTATAGCAGCAGAGCAGCAGCAGCGCCGCTAGTGCGCTCGGTCCACGGCGTGCAAACATTTTACAATACTCGCGCACTTGTTTTTTCTCTTTCTTTTTGCTTGCTGTAGCGACGCAACAGCGACGACGACGACGGCGACAGCGGCAGCGGCTTCAACGGCGACTTTTGAGGGTTGGCAGTATTTGTTACGCGTCTATGCGATAAATATCTGTAATTTAAGCGCAAAGAACACACATAAATAGATACATATATAACCAATGGCAGTTAAGAACACCCTCCCTTCCACAGCCCTCACATGCAGTGTTCTCAAAATAAATCGTTGGCTTGGCTTTTAAAATTGCACTCCCTCACACTGTCAAGTTTCACTCAGGCACTCACACACTCGCAAAGACAATCTAATACAGTTATGTCACATAAGCTGCACAAGAGCGGCCCGAGAAGAAGCAAAAACAACAAAAAAGCACAAGAAAGCTTAGCTGCGCTTATTGTATTTTGTTGTTGCTACTGGTTATTTATTATTGTCTTTTTTCCTGCTTGTATTAAGTTTTTATGCACATTCCGTTTATGTATGGTCATTGTTCGCAACTGGGAACGTTTCTATTGCCACTTTACGCTTTCTGCTGCCATTCGCGGCTCTCGTTCATACAGCTCAAGGAGAAGTTCTTAAAAAAAGCTAAGCCAAACCAAGCCACGCCACTGCAGTGGGTACTAACTAAATTATGCAATGCGCCTCCGGGCAACCGTTGCCTGCCGCGTAACACTTTTTGGTGTCTGCAAGTGACCCGAGTTTTTCTTGTCTCTCGCATTAGCAGATATTGGCAATCAATAGTTACGTACGCTTACACCACTTATTTTGCACTTCTTTTATATGTATATTTGGAGCACTGGCAGAAAATCTATACTAAACGCAGCAGCAGCAACGCTCGGATTTGAGCAGTGCCAAATTCCCACTGAAGCCACCACAGCAGTCAATACAACCAAACAATACCGAGACAATTACGTACGCCACGCTTCAACGTTTCAATGCAACTAAGCCGAGAACAGGTTTAAAGAGAGCACGGCGCGCACATTAACAGACATACAAAATGTCTGCTGGGAATGCTGTTAGTGTACTGTTGTGCTCATTGTGAACTGCTGAAATTATAACGAAGCACTTATCGATAACTTTTAGTTACATCGGCTGTTATTTTAATTCTTTTTAAATGATTTTGACTTAATCTAATTTTTAAGTAGGAATACATGAATACATGAATTATGTGATGTCTCTTTTTATCCTCTGTTTATGTTCTTAACATAATTTAATTTCACACCCATATTTTTATTACCAATTACTGCTGAAGCAAAATAAACAAAGAAATTCAAGTCTTGAAGTTTATAGAACTAGACAATATTTAGTAGGTGTAGCAAGCACCATACCATGCCAGCTGGTATACTCAAGGCAACGAAATGCACAAGATAATTTAAAATTAACAAACTGCAAAAGATGAAGATAAAAATACATTAGAATATAAATAAAATTTTAGAAAACAAGAATAATGATTAACTTACCGATCGAAACGTTTTTTTCCGGATCGTAGGGACTCTTCGGTCACGTTTTCTTTAGCCAGGAAAACACGGAATCCATACAGGGAGGAATTAAAATATTCTGACCAATCGAGGACCCTCAAGTCAAACCCAAACAGTTTTTGATCCTGGGGCGACATGCATCGCATCAGACGTTCAAAGTTGTTCATCTCAAAGGTCCAGTCAGTGATACCGAACGGAGTTATATTCCTTATTCCTCTATGAATTTTACTATAGATTTTCTTCATGCGTGGCTGCTGTCCCCTGAGACGCAGCCACGTGTCAATTAAAAAGGCAGGAAAATTATGATAGACGGCTATCAGCAGCTCGAAAATTTTCATATTCGATGTGACCAATAGGAAGGGATACCACACCATTTGATTTAGTGCATACAAGTGCTTGCGGCTATCCAAAAACTCCATAAATTTGCCCCACTTAATGGGATTCTGCTCGGTTGGAACATAGTTGTAAACGGTTGGTTCTGGTGACTCAATCATCTTTACTTTACGGTCAGCAGCTTGTTTAGCTGAATGCCAGGCACTCGCCAGTGTTAAGTTGACGCAATAATCGGCTGGGACCACGTTGCCCTTGGCTTCCTTATTGAAGATCATGACACGTAGAACTCCGAATCCAGAGCCATATATTACGGAGATGGGACCGTAGAAGTTGTCAATCCAACCCTTAATCGGATCCTTAAAGGTGGGCATAACTAGAGTGGGAAATAATAAATATATCTATTATTAAATTTAAACGAAGCTTATTACACTGTTTAACACAATTGAAGTGACAGAGAACTTTCATCATCAGCAATTGTTGCTGCACAGTGTAATCAAGTATCTTGTCTCATGACCTACTCATGCACGGCCGAAATACGCAGGCAGGTAAGTCTCTGCCTTCCGTCTGCACCACCTGCTCCGCCAAGGCCTTCGTGAAGGTGTAGGTGTTGGGAAACTTTTCGAGCAGGGCTGGTGCCATTTTGTTGATTAAATCGCTGCTCAGCTGCTCGTTCAGCGACATCATCTGGTCGGCTGTGCACGTCAATATCTCTGGATAGAAGCGTTCGCCAATCTTCTCGATCACACAATTCGAGAAGGCAGTGGATACATAAACAAATGCCTCCAGCCGAGGCATCTGCTTGGCCAGCTGCACCAGCAGGCGCGTTCCACGCACATTGATGTGCACTGCCGTGCTGAGTGGCTCCTCAAAGCTGACCGTTGCTGCACTATGGAACATTACTTGCACCTCCTCAGTCAAGAGCTTCCGGTTTGCGACACTCAAGCCCAAGTCCGGCAGTGCACAGTCGCCTGCTATGGGCGATAGCCGGTCTTTGTAGTTGGGATTTGATTTGGAGACTTCACTGAAAAGCTGTCAGAATATCCATAGAATAAGAAGTATAAACGTAAGCCACGCACTTACGAAGCTGCTCATAAACGTATCAATCCGTTGCTGGATTTCCACTCCGCGCTTGGGCCTAATTAGAATATAGATGCGTTTCACTTCGGTTACACGCAGCAGTTTTTCAATGACCACTGAAAGTCAAAGTCAAGTTTGAGTGATCAAAGCTCAACGTCAAATCATTTAATATTGGGGATATATATATATATATATATATATATATATATATATATATATATATATATATATATATATATATATATATATATATATATATATATATATATATATATATATATATATATATATGTATGTATATATATATACATATATATAAAGGACACGATTAACCTACATCTGCCTAAAAATCCACTGGCACCAGTTAGAAAAATGGTTTTATTTTTGTAGAAATCCGTAATTTCTGAGTCCATTTTGTCCTTCTTTGATTGCAACGATTCGATTGAGACGTTGACTCGACTATTAAAAAGATTGTTTAGTGGCTTGGCCTTTTATAGAAGTAATTACACCCAATTAAATCTGCATGGGCTTCAAGTACTGCATTTCATTAAATTGCAATTTGAATATGCGAATAAGGCAATCACGTAATGCATGTCATCATAAGAATTCGTGACGTTTTTAATTTAATTGTAATTAAATAGTTGCATCTATACCTGAACATTGTCTTGTAAGTTTGCCCAGTATTTGTACTCGAATTTCCGTTAATGGCTGAACGGTTATATTTAAACAGTATGCAACTGGGCAGGTAAGGGTGACCATTTAACAAAATACGTACTGCAGTTGCGTATAGTAAAAATACTGTAAAAATACTAGCAACTTAGTATATCTTAAAAAAGACCACCCGCGTAAAACGAATGCATTTATATCTGATCGACGAGGCAGCGCATCAATGAAAATCTAGATGAAAAACATTTCTGACAATTTAATATAGTTTTGCTGTCCTTCAAATTTAAAATGGAAACAAACAGTCTTGTATGCAATAATTGAAACATAACCTGCAACAACAGCAGCCAAGCAAAAAATATTTTTCAATTGTTTTTGAAACTTACCAACACTGTAAGAAAACTCAGCTGTTTCTCAGCTGTGTTGTGTTGTGTAACCTCACGATTGAATTCGGTCCGGAATGGAATGCGCTCGTAAATTTTTACGTGTTTTGCCAAAAAATCCGCAATTATTTAAACGCAGCTTAGCCATGAGCTCTTCGAGTCGTGCAAAGGAGGCAATAGAACAATTGAAAGAGACTAATCCCTACTACAACAAGTATGCTGATAAGATTGCCAAAGCACAACTTACTTCAGCCGAGGAGTTCTTGGATCGGATTGAGCGCGTCGTTAATCCCATTAAGGATGGACAAAGTCAAGCCAGGTGAGTGAAGTTCATTGAAATGATATATCATATCTAACATGCCCTTATGTTTAGATCCTACTCGGAGCTATTGAATCCCAAGCAGAAGCTCGCTAAGGAGCAGGCTGAAGTGCCCCACAAGAAGCTAACCGACATCATGAAAATGGAGCTGATCGCTGATAAGAACGCTGAAGAGATATCGCAAATCTGGATCGAATACCACAAAACCAAGGATGTGCTGGCTGCCACATTGACTACCAGTCAGTACCAGACATTGACTGAACGAGCCAAGGAGCATCCCATCTTTCTGCTGCCACTGCCGCGTAGTGAGGGCTTCGAGTTCATCATGTTGCAGTTCGCAGCCAATTCTGTGCACTTTACGCCCCTTCTGGCCTACCAAGTGCATCAAGAGAATGCACCCGAGTGCCTCACTTTGGTGCATTATACCGAAATGCAGGACAAGGGCATTATACTAATGCGTGGCGAGTACGACACGAAGGTGCTGACCGCACAGGAGGCTCAGTGCTTGGCAAATGAGCTGCAAATGTTTTACTACAAGACAGACGAGAACAAGCTGAAACTGCTGCAGACATTCACCAAGCGTCCGGATGAGTTCAAGCACATGGATCTCATAAAGGAAGTTGAAAACATTCAATTGAGCTAAACAATTCATAATAAAATTAATAACAAATCGTAAAATGGAAACATCATAAGAAAATGGCTAAGACTCCAATTTGTGCCTGCTTTGGGCTGTCATTTCATTCATTAAGCAAACATTTATATATAACATGCATATTTTGCAATGAACATTTAATTAATTAGTAATTAACATTCATATTTTAGTTTTGGTAATTGTTCAAGCTATTGTTTTGAAACAGATGCAACAGAGCTCCAATTTTGTTCTCTCTCCCTCCCCCTCGCTACGCTCCGTGATTAAAACATTTCTTCCTGGCCAACGTCATGGATCTGTCAGGGAGTTACAGTTATATATGGAGCTGAGTTACAATAGATTTGATAGATATTGGCTTACCAGCTCTCCGCCATTGTTGTTGTTGTCATTGAAAAGTTCGTTATTGTTGATGCCATTTGTAAGTATTCGATTGCGTATGGCTTGTATTAGTGAGTTGCGCTTGCCAAACCTCACACGTGCCCTGTCGCCATAGTATACATCGAGATCCTGCAGATACTTCAGCGCATCCGCCATGGTATTGATTTCATTGTTGCGCGGTGGTCGAGCTTTGGAAGCCTCTACAATGCAGCCAGCGGCAAACAGAGCGAGTGCCACGCAGACAACCAAAGTGCAGCGCATTGAATAGGACATGATACGATTAGCTGCAAATGCAAAAGAGCGAGGAAGTGAGAGAGAGAGAGAGAGAGAGAGAGGGAGAGAGAAGGCGAGAGTCAGAGTGGAAGAGGTGGTCACTGAGTGGGATTAAACGCTGTCTGATTGCAAATTGTTTTTGAATAGGAAATAGGAATTATACTGCACAGCTCGCTACACAATTGCATTAGCATTAGCTACAAATTAAGATAAGCTTGGGATATTAAGGAGAATTACTGGTTGTTATAATTGTGATTTGCATAACTAAGTATCAGTTTGCTCTCAGCAGCTGAGTGCCCGTATTGAACTGAACCCGATAGCCCCCATACAGGCTAATTAGAAGCCCATTTACAGGTCCACTAGGGCCACGGCTAATATTAGTATCGTGTACTGCAATCTCTAGATAATTTGCAAAGCCCGTGCAATTATCGCTTTGTTTATGAAGTTCACAAGGCAGCGGATTGCAGTATCACAACTGTAATCAAATCCAGTTTACGTAAGTCATTAATTGCCCCAAAGAAAGCCATATTTTAATTAAACAAATTTTATATTTCAGCCAGGGCAACCTTTCGTGATGATTACCTCAATTTTCTGGCGCACTAAGCAGAATAGAAACGAATCTATTCCCGTGCTCGATTACGAGCTGCTTTTGTGCAATGCTCGTTTTGCTCTCTGAAGAGACTTGAAACATAAATTTGTAATTGTGAGAACCTTTGTCTGCTCACATGGGTGACCTATATCCTAGTTGTTGCAATTGGTTTGTTATTTAATTCATATAGAAAATTTATTCTGCTCACTGGGACATAACAAATTGAAAAAAAAAAAAAACATTTTTAGTAGAGTTGATTTTATATAAAACTTGCCTTTTTAAGCACAATAAAAATGTTTGTAAATTTTCAAATTTGTTTTTTTGTGTTTTCATAAATTTACAAACTTATTATAATTTTTTTTAAGTATTTGAAAAATCTGAAAATGAAATCAACTAATTTTTTTTCAACAAATTAACATTCATAAAATACAGAAATAAGCAATCAAAAAAAAATTATGAAAAATATTTTGGTTAAAATAGTTAATCAACAATGTATTTAATTTATTTTTAAATTTCAAATAACTAAACATAATTTATATTTAAATATATTTGTAAAAAATTATAAATAATAAATAATGTATTTTCATTTTTATCTGAATAATAACTAAATAAAATGTGTTCACTATAATAATAAAATGAATAAAATTACAAATTAATAAAAATGAATTTACTGCAAATGTTTAGCTTAAAATAAATTAAAAGCACATTTTACACAGAAAAAATTGAAATCTTTTTATATTTCACTTTATAACATAATGAAAAATTCGTGGACTTACCTTCAATTTGAGTATTCACAAGTTGCTAATAGAATTGTGGCACTGACAATGTTGCACGAACTGCCGCTCACTGCTGCAACAAGTACCTGTCAAGCCGAGTGCAGAACTTTGAATGATAAACGAGATTGCAGAGCAACAGGCAACAGGCAAATAAGGCTATTGGCCAACGATGGGTTGCTGATTGGAAACAAACAGGCAGTGGATGGATCCAACGACCGAAGGTAAATGCTAACCGAATGCGTTCAGCAACAGGCATTTATATAGTCGACAGACGTGCGTACGTACCATGACCTAGTTGTTGCTGCAGGATACTTTTCCAGCCATCAGAGCTACCGCTGGCAGAGACGAAGCCTCAAAAATATTTTCATATGCAACCTAATTATGTTTGCAAAACTTTTTGGAGCAGCTGGAATAGAAAACAACGTCAAAGCTAGCTAACAAATGCTGACAGTTGGCTAACGAGATATCGCGAAATGCTGAATGTTATTAATGAGAAAGAGCACGGCGAAGGATTACCGCCTGCTGGCAACCCCCCAGCGCCCATCGCCCACCTGAGTGTGTTTCGATATGCAAATGCCCGCTATCATTAATTTGAATTATTTGATTATTATTTAATTGCTGCCGGGGCTTTACTGGCGCAACGGCCAAACGAGCTCAATTCTAACTAAATTTATTTATAGTTGATATATTATTGTTGTTATTAAAAAGGCTTGCCACAGTCTTAGATTTAAATTGTTCTTTAATTTGGGGTCATTTGTTTTGCTAACTCGACATGTTATGCACTTATCCAATGCGCGACTTCTGGTTTGCTGCGCATACGTAACGTTCAATGGATTATAACGTACATAACGTATACGCCGCATTGCACAATCGTCACATCACTAATAATCTGTAGTTTTCGCCCCATTTATAGTGTTTTTATCTTCACATTAACTTAAGTGACCCGGCTAATTGCCAGGTAGCATACATAGAACTACTATTAAGTTAGTTGGTGATTTTCTATGCTCTTGTTGCACCTATAAATGATATATAATATGTTATATCTCTATACATAACAGCAACAAGTGCAATTAAGCAAGGTAAATATTCATTAGATATAAGCGGCTGTGTGTTATATTTAAATTTAATTGACAGACTGCTTTGTTCCTTATTATTCGATTTAGAGTTTTAGTGCAGCTCAACGAGTTTAGGAAGAAACTATTCCTATGTTAATAGCTCGAGCTGTTGAAATGTTCTCTGATTGTATTTAACTTGAGTAAAGCTTTCACCTTGCAAACATATCGAAGCTAATTGCTGGCTCTAAGCCATTTGCTGAGGCTTTATATATCATAATTAAAGTTAACAGTACATTGTCCACAATATCACGCATATGCTCAATGCTCGCAGTTCGGACTATTTGCGGCGGCTAGTTGTTTGCTGATGCTGCCGGGGAATTGGGAATTCCATGCATTGAGTGCTTACCAGCAGCTTGTCGCTGGCTTATTTAGTTCAAGGATGCCGCTCTGCACAGCTTGTGTGCAGTTCATTGTGCTGAGGGATTTCCAGCGTAAGCTCGGCTGCTCCGCCATTTCGCTGACTGATTTCTCATCTTTCTCACCTGGCAAGTGTTAAAATGCTGGCGCATGTGCTTGATAGGGTCACATTAAAGGCATCGAACGCAATGACGTTTTTGTAGCACAATTTTAGTAGCCGATTTTGTGGCCCCTAATTTGCTACCCAAGTATAGTCACTAACCATATACAGTTATAATTTTAAGTAGCATGCAAATGGGGCTTCCCTGGGCAAGAACAGGGCAAACGCACGCATCGCGTGCTTGGCAGCCTCAGAATTGTGCATGTTGTCTTATTACATTAAGAAACAGTTATTGGAATATGGTATATGGTATACGGTATGTGAGCTTAGCACGTAGGGCTATTATCCCATATAATTCGATTCATTTAATTCCATATACAATTTTCGCTGCGACAAAAGCGTTTTCTCCTCCAGCTAGTTTATATATAAACCAATTACATATATTACTCGTTGTAAGTTTCTTCAAAATTATGGCGCTGTACTTCAGCGCTATATAATTAAATAGTAAAATGATTACAAATTCTCATAAATCACTTATTAATTAAGGTCAGAGTTTTGCAATTTAAATATATTAAATTTGAATAAAAATTCCTTATGTATTCTATAATTTTTTTAATTGGCGCTAGCAGAATAAGCTCACTTTGCATACATTGTTGATGATATGCTGAAGCCTATAAAATCTATAAAACTAACTAATTTAAATAGTAATGACAACTAGTTTTTAACTTTTACTAAAAGTGATAACCAATTTGGATCCTAGCCGAAGCTGAGAACTTAAAGAGCGGAAAACCAGAAAATTTTCAAAGAAATCCAGTTGAAATTTCAGTTCACGGCTTATCGAAATATTTTTTCCAATAAGCTGAGTTATGTTTATATATAGTACATATACTAACTATAGTCTATACTAGCTTACTTTTCGCTTTTATGCTTGAGTATACTTATCGCATTGTTAGAGTTTGACTTAACAAATTGTATGACAAAACACGATTTATTTTTATATTTGATATATTGGTAGGGTATCTCCTAACCTTTGGCAAGCCCCTTACTAGGGTACTCTCACTTGTTTCATTACATTTCTCTGAAGCGTTTGACTCAATTTCCATTTGACCTCACAGTTTTAATTTTTTGCAAGCCAAGATAAAAGACTTTAGTTTTTAACTCAGCAATTAGCTTCTCAGAAGCTTATAATACTGTGAATATTATTATATTATTCGTAGCTAAACAAAAAATGTTCAAAAAGCCTTAATAAATTCTTCTTATTTTGTTTGATTTCATTTCAATCTTTTCGTGTCAGGAAAGAAAGGGATTCCACATAGTTTATGCATATTTGCGTAAAAGCTTTGCGGATGTAAAAGCTTTAATTGTGCTGTGCTTAGTCTGGAAAATTTCTGGTGCAAAATTATGGAGCCCAAACACATATCCTGGGCCAAAAGCTCAAAGCCCAAAGCGTACTATGGAAATTTTTCTGGCTGGGCTGAGCTTTTCGAAGCATTTGCGCACTTTATGGCGTTGTTAACATGCCATAATTATGGGCTGGTACTCGCTATAAATTATAATAAACAGTTTGATGCATGACAACTGCTAGTTAGTAGAACCCATTGACTGTACATTTAAGCCTGAGCTAAATTTCGCGTGTGCTGGAGCACCAAAAAGTTCTAGACGACATTTAACGCCAGAACGTAAGACAATGGCAATAAAAAGTCAGACAAAAAAATAATACCAAGCAAAACAAAATAAAGTTACGCGCTAATGTACGCAATAATAATTAAGTACATCATTTGAAGTTAGAAACATGCGATCTTTACGTGCAGCAACAGTTGAGCTAGAGTTCAGTTGAAGCTTAGGTCGCTTAGGAGGTAATGGACCGCCCTCTCCTACCATAATCTAATGGACAGATGCTTTCAAAGCCGTCCACTATGCAGGGGGCTGCTGGGCTGCTGAGAAAACGTGACCGGGCCCATTGGACACGATCTAAATCGATCAGATCGAGTGATCATTATCCGCATTGCTACTTAATAGTTATTGACTATTAACTAGCTGATCGACAGGCTCTTTGCTGTCAGAAAATAGCTCTAAATGCGAGGGCCTCATGAATAAACATGTTCTATGGCGACGAGGCACGTGTGCGTGCTTATTAGGGATTAAATAGAGTCATTTGTGTTATTAAATGTAAAACAACGTTAAGTGATCTTTAAAATGGCGCACTACAAGCACAACTACAGCAGCAACAACAGCTACAATAATTAAAAGTATTGGCGAACTTTAGTAACCCCCGACGAGCCATATAGTCGTCTCCAGTGCCGATTAACTCATCGTTCTGGAAACTTTGGAGCAAATAGCGCTCGGGGATTATTTGAAACAAACTACTTAGTTGCAAGTACTTGGCGTATTTTAAACGTTGCCAGTTATGCTTGTGTTGTTGTTGACACCCAGGGATCGCAAGCGTCGGCTTCAGCTGCGACGTCGACGACAGCGTCGTCGCTGTCGTCGTTGTCGTCGTCAGCGTCAACAGAGGCTTGAAAGTGGACCGGTTCATGAAAAGATTTTCGCGCTTTGACGCTAGATGCTTGATCGCAGCTCGGTCTACGTTTCGATCTGAGCTGGGTCGCTGTTAACGTCTCAGTCGGAGCTCAGCTGCCCGGCCCAAGAGTCCATATAAAGGTACTCACTGCCGTTCAGCTCAGCGCATTAAGTTGTCAAATATCGTGAGAATAGGAAGTGCGTGTCAGTCGATTCGAATATACTAACAACAATATCAGCAACAACAGAAAAATTAAATTAAATAAAAAACAAACTAAATCGATCAACAAGTGCAACAAGTTAAAAACAATTTAAAAATAGTTAGCAAAATTGTCGGAAAGTTCTGTGCATGAAATGGAAAATTGAAAAAAAATAAATAAATAAAATACAATTATTAACAATAAAAAGTTATTTATGAATTATTAATTCAAATCACCCGCCAAACGATCTATGCAAATTAATTAGAGCTCACAATCTTTGGACTTGTTATTGTAAATCGTTTTGTTTGCCTGCAATAACGTCGATATATAAATATTCCTTTTCTATATACCTATAAATATATATGAACTGCTGCAGTAATTGATTTGCATCATAAAGCAGGCAAATATAAAGATCTGTTAATTGATTGCCACACACACAGCTTTCAATAGTTAAAATCGTTGCGAAAAGTGCGCTAAGACCATAAAAGCCGCTCTCAACAAAAATGAAACTGTTCACGAACAAAACCCAGCGCAATGCAAGTGAGTAATTTAAAGTGCGGCCCGATCTTAATTAAGCCATAGACCATACCGTTTATATGCCACCTTCATCCAAGTCAAAGACACCCATAAAAGAGATCAAGTAAAGGGTACCTCCCGATCCGTTCGCCGAGTAACACGAAAAATCTCCGACACTCGCAAAACTGGTTGCCAAATACGTTTTGCAACGTATCTCTCTGTGAACGTAATTAAGCAGGATTTGGGAGTGTGTCGAAAGCTCGGCGGGAACCTGCATGCAAATCACGTCAAAAGTATGCAAGACTTACAGACCGACAGCACGTTTAATGCACACTCACAGCTTAGAAGTTGTCAGTCCCAAGCCATTTCGATTTCTCAACCAAAATTGATATTAATTGAATTCTCACATTTTTGTGTTACTAGCTTTTATAGCCTTCTCTTCTAATCGAGAGATCATTTAGTAAGACTTAACAGCAATATCTTATCTAAACATTTGTTTGTTGAAACTTGGATTTTTTTTTTAAAATTGGTTTTAAATAATTCCGAATATTTTGACATATTTAATTTTATTTGCCGGATGACTTTTATGACTTAAAATCTCATCGAAGAGTAAATGAAAATATTTCCTTATATCTTTTGATTTAAAATTTGATTCTTAGAATATAAATAGAGCGAATTTTAATTTAAATGTTATTGAAAAATGGGAACAATAACTTGAATACAGTCAGTCAATATGAGTCAGATTTGTGGAATTGTTTATAGCTGGGCTAGAAGGTCGGCTGTAAAACTCGAAATAAATACCATGTGAGCTGAGTTGGGTGCAAAGACAGCTTCAGCTTCAGTTATAATAGTTGTGATAGATTGCTCTTGGCTCTCTTCGCCTTTTATTGAAGCAATGTTTCGATATTTGTGTCTCTGTTAACGGTTCTTTGTCAACAGTTCTCTGGGTGTCCAGATTAGCTACGCAACATAACTGCAGAGAATGATCTTGTAGACCAAACTGTGGCAACTGGGTCAAGGGCAGCTTTTTCTTGCATAAAGTTGAGCTGGAGACAATATTTCATGATCTTGTTAAAACTACATCTCTTTCTTGATATTTCATCAGAAACTGAATCAATTCACTCAGAAATTGATACTTTTCTCAGTTTGCTCTTCCTCCATACTTCTACAAAGTTGCAAAATTCTGAATTCAGTTTAGAACCGGATATTTAGTTATTTAGTTTCACTCCACAATTCACGAGTACTCTATAAAAAACACATATTAAAATATTGATATTTGAGATAAATACTTCCTTTTATTTATTTTGCATGATAAATAAGTATTTTAAGCTTGCAAGCCACAAATTAGTAATAAAGAGACGGATCTTCTGAAAAATTCTCACACTATTAATATATAAACAAAGCGCTAAATTTTTCTCTGATCTGGTATCAGTGATGCAAGTAAAAAATTTAAGTTCATCAAATTGTGTGCAGTGTTTGCTTATAGAATAAATTATTCAAATTATTAAATAATATATATATATATTATATATTTATATATTTATATATATATTTATATATATATATATATCAAAAAGGAAAAGGATATATTCAATATTAAAGGCTGTCTTCTTAAGGATATTCAGTTTTAGTATCGCAATTGCGTAGCTTGATGTAGTCTCTTCCGAGTAACTCAGAGAAGCATAAATAATGGCATTAAATGAATTTGTATATTTTTTGTATTAAATAAAATTCCAAAAAACAAAAGATTTTAACTTGGAAAATATACGATTTTTTTTTAGGAATTTACTTAAAGTAAAACTAAAAATCTAAGATGATTATACACATTTCAATTATATTTTTTTAATACTTTATTCAAGTTATTTTTATTTTTGATAAAATGTTTTTATTATATAAATCTAAATGTTTTAGTTTCATTTCTCATTTATTTCTAATATGTGTTTCTCAAATGTTGTTGCTCATTTAGAACAAATTATAATTTGTTCTTGCTAATAAGGAGTTTAACTTGGATTTATTGTCACATAAAAAAGCATTGAAATAGTTTTGAATGTCGTAAAATGTGTATGAATTAAACAAAAATACAAATGCCAAGCATTTAATTTACATAAATTGTTATTGAGAAAAACTAAGCAATGCCCAGGCCCAATTGATCTGTGAGTGCGCCTGCCTTAATTTGTTAGTAATTGCTGTCGTAGTTATCGTAGGATCGTTTTGACAAAGTCATTGAAAATAAACTAATTCCAAAGTTTAGTCGCACTAACACAGACGGACGCCGGACGGCGGGACAGAGGTACGTGTATTAACGGAACTCAATTGTAATTAAGCTTGCATAAATTAAGATCTGAAGTTGACGCGATTGTGACTGTAACGTCACGTACTACCTTACCATGAAGTCCGGATTTGATGACGATTTGAACAAACGAAACTAAACGAGACGAAAACGCTTTGAAATTGAAGGCGAACCTTAGGCAACGTCCAGCATTGGCCTCAAAGATGAATTGGGTGTGATTGGGCCATAGATACGGAGATAAAAGAAACAATGCTAGAAGCGACCTCTTTGCCAACTCTGACTCACACCTGCTGACGGAGCCTAGAGATGTGTGAAAACCATTTTCCTGAGTGAATAACTTTTGCTTTCCTCAGAAGTGCCAATGGATGTCAGCCAGTCATTATCATAATGTTCCCAGACAGAATATTTGGCAAAGTATAATATTTGCTGAATTCCTTAGCGATTTTTAGAATCGTCACTCTTACAAAATAGATATAATGCACAACTTAACGTGTGCTAAACAATGTAAATAACAACAAATTTGTAAAGGCAAGATCAACAATAGAAAGAAAATAAAAAATATACAATATACAAAAGCTATCCATTTCAAAGCCAACTGCCGATCGGAACTGAGCTGCAAGTTTCGCGTTGCGGGTTGCGAGTTGCTAGCTGCGAGCTGCGGCCTGATTCTGACTTCTGGGAGAGAGCCTGTTTGTTTGCATTTCCTTATTGTCAGCCTGTCTAATTATCTAATTGCTGACGTGGCGTGACTATTTAAGGGTTTGTTCCCCCATTTACTGTTCGTTATCTGTTTTTGGGCGATGATTAACAGCAACAGGCAACGGAAAACTATGTACTATGATTATTCATTAGTTAAACAGCAATCAACAAACCGGCAAACAAGCGACGACCAAACAACTTCAAATGCTGTGCGAGCGTATCTTGTAGTTACATACGTAAGCACGAGCGCGAATCTTGTAGCTGTTGGATGCCGACGACTTAGCTTGGCTAATACACATATCTAATTTATTGTCATTTGACGGAAGTCACACATACTCACACACACACGCACACGCACGCACAAAGTCATTTTTGAAGGTGCTTGGAATTATACACGTATAGATTGTTGCTTAGATACAAAAACAATTCATTCTTGACTTTTAGTGGGTCAGCAGCGACGCGTCATTGTTCGAAGCAGAGAGTTCAAAGCATTGTAGACATTGTGCATTGTGAGCACCTGTTTTATGTTGCTGTTGCTGTTGCTGTTTGATTTTTAATGCTATGCCAAATTGCAGCGAACTTGAACTTCAAACTGCTGCAGAGAGCCGTCAACCGAACAACCTTATAACTGTGAGATACAAATGTATCTGTAGGTTGCATATCGCCGAGTCGCTGCTGATGCTGTGCTGCCGTTGCTAACGCTATACTCCCCAACACATAGAAACGGGTTCAGAGCTCCACTCGAATCAGCTGTCGTCGTAGACAAACGCCGCTCACTCACTCACGCTCATTTGGTCGGCGTCTTTTCGACTTTTTGGCTTTTTGGCTTCAGTCGCGTTCGCAACTTTGGCAATGCAATTGCATAATTTACCACAGCGTCCGCTGTCGAATGCCGATCGAAGTGTGTTTTTTTCGTATTCGATTTTCTTGTTGTCTTTCCCATGAGAGATTTGTTGCAGCAGAATAATTTGAACGCTTTGTTTGGCGCCTAATTTATGGTATGTCTTCTATCGGTGTCTATGACTGGCCAACACTTTTGGCCAAGTGTGTGTTAATGCAGCTATGCGATTCAAGGCAAGGATACACACTCAGGCATACCTACAGACACACAGACATACAGACACACAGACACACAGACATACAGACATACTTATATAGGCTGGTATTTGTTATCATGGATGGCCGTTTGCGTTTTTGTTTTGATTTTGAAATCTTGAACTTATTTGCGCTAATGGCGTGACAGAGCTGGCTTTAAAAAGAAGCAGACAGCAGAAAGAGAAGAAACCGACACAACTATTAATGAATTTATGGTGTTTTGTCAAAGCTGAGCTTAGCTTATAGCTGGGGGGCTTGGTGAGCTCAGTGAGCTTGGTTCATTGATCTGAGCGGGTTCTGCTGTGATATATTTTAATGTTCGTTTCATATCTAATTGTGAAGTACTTGCGGCTTTTGTCATTTACTGTCTGTCTTCATTACTTGCGGGGGATTTTGCTAAACGATTTCTCTGATAAATCGACTTAAGCGCGGCGCTTGATTTATGACTACCGTCGCAGGTGGGGCTTGCACGGCCATGATCTTCAAAATCGGTCAGGTCTGTAATCAGTTTAAGATCGCGGCACATCCGCTATTAAACAGACACAACCTCAATGATAACAGTCACGGCGGAAGGTGAGCATCTTGTATGTGTATTTCCAAACAGAGACAAAAACAAGTTTTCAATATAATTAAGCCTTAAGAATGTTGGCATATTGTGAGTGTTTATTATTTTTTACTCTTAACTAATTTAAGTGGCTTTAGTTCAATACATTTCAATATGCACATACAGCTCTTATCAAGTGCCTTGTTGCAACGGCGCGGCGAGGTCGTCGCTCAATACGTCGAACCTGCACGTAATTCCCCCAAATCAATCGGAAAGCATAGCAAAAGAACATAAACCGGCCTCGATAATGAGACGCGCTGCGGGCAAGGGCAGTGACGTAACATATTTATGATTTCGCCGAGCTCATAAAATGTTGCCCCAGTCTCAGGCGCTCGATGATCGTTTATTGAACTCCATTGGGCCTCTTTGTAGACAGCGTTTTGTTTTCAGTTTTATTTATTCATTTATGCTGTTTTGTTTTATTTTTTTTTTTGTGGTCCAGTGGCTGTTCCTGGTCCTGCCATTGAGGTAGGTCGCAGATCTTTGCACCGCAGTGCGGTCGACAGCAATAAAGAATCGCGAAGGTCATTAACATGGCTGGCAGCCACACGCGATCCACAAGCTGTCAGCGATTTAGCAAACTTGTTGAACTTCGACTGCTTGCAACACGCGCAATGCGACACAGACAGCAACTGCGACTGCGATTGCGACTGCTACTGAAATTGAGCTAATTGCATAACTCACCTCGTACTCTAATTTATTTCGCAGAGCTATTGCGATGTGCTGCACTTGGCATGACGCTCATTTTCTTTGGAGCCGCCATCCTTATGACAAATCCAGTGAAACTATTCGAGGATTGGGTAAGCAATGCAGCAACAACTCCCTATGGCTCCAGCATTCTAACTGATCTCCGTTGATTCAGCAAATCAGCTTGAGCCCTAATACGCTGCTGTACAAGCTTTGGCTCCATCCGCCCTTGGAAGTCTACATCACGGTCTACATGTTCAACTATACAAATGTGGATGCGTTTATAGAGGGCACAGATGCCAAGATGAAAGTCGAGGAGGTTGGGCCTTATGTCTACCAGGAGGTGCTCACCAATCACAACATAACCTTGAACGAGGCCAATAACACGATCACCTATACGCCGCGACGCGAATATATTTTCGTGCCGGAGCGTTCGGTGGGTGACCCAAAAGTCGATCGCATCCGGGCGCCTAATATACCCTACATGGGCGTCAGCACACAGGCGGCCAGCCTCTCCATGTTCGCGGCATTGGGCCTAAGTGCTCTGGCCAAACGGCTCAATGCCCAGCCCATGCTGGAGGTCACCGTGCACGACTACATGTGGGGCTACGAGGATCACTTGGTGCACTTGGCCTCCAAGTTTGTGCCCAGCCTAATCGATTTCTCCAGCTTCGGCATTATGGAGAAGGTAAGCTATTAGTTAGTCTCTGATATGTTCAGCTAAGCATTTGCTTCATCCAATGCTTAGCTGTTTCGAGAGGGCAACGAGAGCAACGTGGTTAATATGCATTTGCTGGAGCCCAAGGATGCGCATGGCGTTAACCTGCCTGGCTCGCCACGCGCCTATTCCCTCAATAGCATCAACTATGAGCGCGGCTTCAAGCGCTGGGAGTACGATGAGGCCACCAAGTAAGTTCCAACTGTCCATTGACCGTAGTTTGTGGAGCTAATCGCTTTGCTCTCCTTGCAGCGGCACTCAGTGCAATCGCATTTGGGGTAGTCATGATGCGACACTTTTTCCACGCGACATGAACGAGCACGATACCTTCTATATGTATCGGCGTACCTTCTGTCGGCTACTGCCCATGAGATTCAATCGCACGCTGGACTTTAGGGGCCTCGATGCCTACGAGTACATTATGGACCCCAAAGTCTTTGACAGCGAACTCCACAGCGCCAACTCCTCGTGCTTCTGCAAGAACAATCAATGCCTGAAGCGGGGCGTGGGCAATGTCTCGCCTTGTTATTACAGTAAGCGAACCGGAAGCTTTCCGTTTATATATACTTAATCCTCTCTCCTCCTCCTGCCCAGACATGCCGCTGGCTATAACATATCCGCACTTCATGCACGCTGATCCCAGCTTGCTGAGAGCTTTCGATGGACTTAGCCCCAATGAGTCCCGCTTTACAACTACTGTCATGCTGCAGCCGGTAAGTACAAGGGAATTCACTTCGTTTCTGGTTCCTCAAAGCTCACTTGGCTCATCTCTACAGCAACTGGGCGTACCCTTGCATGTTCATGTGCGTCTGCAGGCCAACCAAGTGGTGGGAAATATCAAATTTAACCGTTTGATGGAACCCTTCGAGAACCTAGTGCTGCCCCTGCTCTGGGTGGATCTCACCATTGACAATCTGCCCCCGAGCCTGCAGGTGCTGGCTTATGCGCTGAAGTCCGTATTCCCGAAGCTGCAGTTCGCCATCGCGCTGGGCCTCTTGCTGGGCGGGCTCTATCAGTTGATTGCAGCGCTACTACTCTGCTTCTGGTCGCCATCAGCTGGTCTGCACAAGACGGAGCATGGCGAGAAGACGACCAACGTTTTGGGCAACCTAAATTTGGCCCAGTCCCTGCACATGCCTTCGTCGGCGGAGTGCGCCCAGCCGGAGGCACAGAAGCTTCTATACCATGGCGATGCGTACAAGCTTGAGGTGTGAAAAGGTTCAGCAATTGTAACAATTGGCAAATTACCTCAATCCGCAATGGACAGTGGCCAGACTCTGTCCAAACTCTGTGATATTAAGAGCTAAGCTAATAAGGAGATTTGGTGTAGATTATATTCTGCTCAACGGAAACAACTTAGGGAACATTCTATGCTTATATAAAAATTAAGGTTAATGGTAATTCTGATTCGTAGTCGCATGCAATGTACAGCTGAGTTTGCACTCGATAAATATACGCAGCATGATAACTGTAAACAAGTATCGATAAGCGATTAACAATTAACAGGCATCGGCTATCGTGTATATCGATTCACATTTCATTTGAGAATAGCGCTGGCACTGGCTTTGGCCTTAATGTGAGGCAATTGTGTCCTCAATCCAGTTCAAGTAATACGAGATGCGCAGGTAAACATCTGGGAAATTCTCAAGTGCACAGCCCGAACCGAATGAGGTGACGCCGGCCAATATCCAGGGACCGTCGCGCGACAGTCGACACTGCAGCGGCCCGCCGGAGTCGCCCACACAGGTGCCGCCCTCGCCATTCAGCTGCCCGGCACACAAATGTCCGCCATGAATATTCACAAAGCTGCCGTAGGCATCCTTGCATCTGAAAGGGATTTGGAGGCTATAGTGGGTAGTTCGATAAGCCAGCCAGGGCTGTGCTGCTCACCTGCGATTCTGATGCAGTGGCACCTGTGTTTTGAGCAGTTGACTGGACAAGTCGCCGCTGATGTTCGCTTTGCCCCAGCCGGTGGCCACGCAGTCCATGAAGGGCATCTCGTGCGAGTCCTGGCCCCTGGCAAACTGTGTTTCCGGCTCCGATTCTAGCTGTAGTTTCATTAGCTTATCGTTGCGCCGACGCGTGCGTTTTAGGGAGCGCGGCGAGCGCTGGGATTGCTTCAGCGACTGGCGTAAGCGATTGAGAATCTTCATGTTCATCAGCTCTCGCATGGACATGTTGATGGAGGTGGGCGCAGTCACATTGCGGTACCGCCTTCGACTCTGCGCGCTGCGCAGAAAATTATCAATCTTCTCGGGCACATCGTCCAGCTCGAGCTGCTGGCTAAGCATATCATCATCGGAAGCTGGCGCCGGCGGTGGCGCTGGCGCCTCCTGTACTGGTGTCTCGCGCAGCATGAAGGGCAGACAAATGCGCCGTATGTGAGAGGAGCGGGAGAGATCCGCTGGCTTGGACAGCTTCATTAGCACCACATCGTGCCGGAAATTGTGGTAATGATGATGCAGCACAATTTTCTCAACGGGAATGCGCTGCTCGTTGCCCGATTCCACGTTGCGATCGTGCTCGCCCAGCACCACAGTCCACAGAGGTGGAATGGGCAGATTAAAGAGATCGCTGCGTGAAGAGGAGGAAACTATTGAGCTGCATCAGCAATCCGGCTCGTGCAGTTCTCACTTACTTGTGCACACAGTGGGCGGCAGAGAGTATCCAATACTGATGGATCAGCACAGCACCACACCAATGGCCCAGAAAGCCCAGCGAAGGATGCAGCAGCTCCAGCGATGCCTGCCACGGAAATTGGCCCTCCTGCGTGGTGGCGCCAGCAATAATGCGTGCCTCGCGACCTCTCGGCTGGCAGCCGCAGTCTGTTGGGCATTCAAGATGCTGATCGATTCTCGATGAATATTGAGGCACACTCACCTGTCTCAAACTGTGCGGCGTTGTGCACCAGCAGCAGCAGGCAGAGCCAGCGCAAGGCCAGAGCCAGCTGTTGCTGTTGTTGCCGTTGTCGCTGTCGCTGTTGATGGGGTGACAATAGCTTCATCATGTTGTCGCTGCTCGCCAGCGGCTGATCGCGCGCATGACTGACCCAGACCCAGACCCAGACCCACAGTTAGAGTTGGAGCCAGAGCCAGAGTCAGACCCAGCTGTAGCAGATGCCAGATGACAGATGCCAGTAGCGGTATCCTGATGCTGCTGCTGCTGCTGCTGCTGTCGACTATTGTTACGGTTACGGTTACTTTTCACTTTCACGCTTGCAGTCAAATGAGCTGGCAAGCTAAACTCTGGTTACTTTGGATTATTTTTTGTTTTAATAACACGCATTCGCGTCTCAAAGGCCTTTTTGTGCCATAAATATTATAATTTACGAGATCTTTCCCAGCCTTACTTTACTTTTCTTTTCACGCGCTGCGCATTAATTAGCCAGCGGTGGGCGTTGCCGGCGATGTCCAAGCCGCGAAATGTGCGCAGCACCAGAATCAACCCAAGTCCGACTTCAACTCAAAGCCGAAAACTGAAAACTGGGGGCCCGTGCCCACGGTTATATAATGTCGATGCTGCTGTGTGTGGCCTGGGGCGGGCAGTATTAATGGCGTTTTGCTTTCGACAGCGGCGCATGCGTCGCGTTGCTCTGTTTGGGAGCTGTGATGATAGTTTCTACTTTGTAGCTGGGCTAATGCGGCTCATGCGAATCGTTTGCGACGAGCGCCAAAATGCAACTGTGCGCTGTTGTGGTTTGCCAACAAACATTTACCGTTTCGGTTACAGCGATGCTGCGCAGTTGGCGTCGACATTTGGCTGTGGATAGTGTTGCATGCCTCGCAAGCAGCAACAGCAACAACAGCAGCAGCAGCAGCAGCAGCAATAATAATAATAACAAAGCGATGCCAACGAAAGTGAAAAGACAGCGCGAGAGGCGGGCAAAAGAGCAGCTAACGGACAACAACAACAACAGCAGCAGCAGCAGCAGCAGCAACAATAATAAACAACAACAACAACATCCACATTGATGACGCTTGCTTGGCTTTGAAGAAAAGGGTAAGTTCGGCCAACTTGAACATATCGAATCATTCACCAGCTAAATCGAGCTCAATGAAAACAATTAACAGATTTGAGCATTTCCGTTCGATACAGCAGCTGACAGCAAATATATATCATCTGATATATTACTATAATTACATGGAATGCCGTGAAAAACGTTTAATGTCAGCTTTAGTTAATAATATGCAAATCTATTTATCTAAAGCAACGACAGCAACGAATAGCCTTAGCCCGGGCAGATGTCAAAACTCATGAAATACAGACAGAGTTAGCATGTGTTTAAGCTGGATTATCGATCGTGTTGAATAGTTATCTAACTGTAAACAAATCAGATAATCAAGCTCATGTAAGAAGCTCAAGAATTTCTTATTTAATATTAATAAAAGTAAGCACACAATTATACAATTCCTTCCTCGTCTGCAATTCAAATAGCTTGATTACTGCGAAGGCGAATCACCTGATTAACTAATGCAGCTTATTCATTAAGGTTCCTGTTAAAGTGCCCGATTCAGAGTAACTTATTACAAATAATTGATTCTCTGGGTCAATGCGCCTAGTTAAGCTGAACTATTGCATATGGAACATGCCAGCGTTACGTATACGTCTGGTATAACAGAGACATTCTTGGCAGATCATTTAACAAACACGGCTCGAACAAGTTAGATGCTGGCATTTAAGTAAGTCATTCGCTAGATCTTGCTTTAGATATCTACGAGAATGAAGCATTAGCCAGCTGCTTGCGATTACGTGATGGATAAGCGGGAATGGAGCCCGTCCAACAACTCAGCCAAGTGAATGCGACTCGCTGAGCGAGTGACTGAGTATATGTAAGTGCAGCTGAGTGTTGGTGCGGGTTACTTTCGTTTTCATTACATCCACAGCAACAGCAGCAGCAGCAGCAGCAGCAGCTGACTCTGCAGGCTGTGTACGTCCGGCCGGACTGCAACCCGGAGCCGCGCACCTTTCATGAATTCCGCGTTGATGCACAAACTCATAAGTCATGTTGCTGCTGCCACAGCAGTCACAACAGACACAGCCATTGGGCACTGTGCAATGGGGAAGTTGTTAAGGCAGCAGCAACAACAATAACATCGGTCTGTTTACGCAGCCAATTGATCATTTAAGCCAAGTTAAGTCGCTGCTGAGCTGCCGGCTTGTCAATTTGTTATTGTGGGCGTTGTCATTGCTGTTGCCTGTGGCTCTTGCAGTTGCTGCTGCTGCTGCTGCTCTGTACAATTAAGAGGCGCCTTGAGGTCCAGCAATTTGTTGATGTTTGCTTGTTTGTTTGACGTTTGTTAATCAAAAACTCTAAAATAGCTTGCACAATCGGCGCAGATTTTGAACGGCTTAGGGTTCAAGTCTCGGCTAAGTCAAGTGAACTTTCCCAACAAAAATGAACAAAAATATTTGATAAATTTAATGCAAGAAAAAAACAACAAAAATCAAATGAAATTTTACGCAAACAGCGTGCGACGACAATCAGCGGAAGCGTTGCGGGTCACATGGACTCGACAGCAGCAGCAACAGCAGCAGCAGCATCAGCCAAATTAGTCAAGCTAAACCAAATGAGCACGTAAATCTTTGCGTTGGCGTTAGGAGAAATCGTGGTTCGAGACCTTGAATGCAGCGCAGTCCACAACTGCTAAACACTGGTGCATTGGGCTGCAATTTCACTTTGCTGTTATTCAATTGCAGTTGCATCATAGTGGCAACATGTGGCCAGCTGATCGGCAGCGGATGCTGCGAGAGAGTTTCTTAAACCCGACAAAATCGGACAAAAATAGCGAAACGGGCGTCGACAGCAGCTGCCACACAGCTGATCGACATTAGGCAGCGGCGTCGTTTCGCATTTGCATGCCACGCACCAGCCAACACCAGCAGCAGCAACAGCAGCAACAGCAACGTCAGTTAATATTGAAGCGTATCTTTAAGATGCGCGCATTACATTACCAAATGGCAGTGGCAGCGGCGCTTTCCATGCGCTGTCTTTGCCGACGTTGCCTCACATGAAAACGAAAGTGCTTCAAGTGGTTAGCCAGATGTTGTTGTTGTTGTTGCTGTTGTTGTTTAGGTTACACTGTTTGCTGGCGCTCACGAATAAAAGTTGCTATCTCTGTCTTTTTGCTGCTGTTGCCGTGTTTCCTGTATCTCCAAGTTGCCGCTGACTGTGGCCATGGCAATGGGGGGATTGCCAGCGCCGAAACGTTGCATGCCACATGCGCCGCGTGCAGACCGGCGCGAAATATTTTGTTTAGCTTACAAAAATGTTTGTGCACAATTTGCAAGCAAAAAATAAAATAAAAAAACATTTTACAGTTTGCTGCAGCTGCGCTCAAAATACTGAACAAAAAAAGGGAAGTTTATTTGACTGCGAGCTAAATGCAGAAATTGATAAAAGTAAATAAAAACAAAAAAAAACAAACACAGCATTTACATAAATTCAAATAAAATTATTCTAACAAAAATTCATATTGGCCACAATTTTAATTACAATTTGCATAAGCCAAAAAGTCTCACTTAAAATGTTATTTAAAGGTCTGAATCTCGTTGCAAGAGTATTTAAGCTTCGTTGCATGCCACGCATATCTAGCCGCAATCAAATTTGTATATAATTTATATTATTTATTTAACATATACCTGTTTAGAGTCGTATTTGTTTAGGCCAGGTAGGCGCGTGTTTAGTTACAACTAGCCGCAAACATCAGTTAAACGAAATGCGATGAATTTGACTCTAACTTTTGGTATTTCAAGGCTTGCTTTTTGCATTTTCGGCTAATTTTAGCGAATTTATTTTGCAGTTTGGTGAAACTGTTCGCTTGGCAAGACGGCAAACGATACTTGAAGTGTCAGGATTTGTTTAGCAATCGGCCAGAGTTGCTCGAAATCGCGTGTCCATAGCTCCACAGCTGGGCTCAGGTGGTGCAGCCCACCCAAGTCAATTTACATCATAGTAGCAGCAGCAGCAGCAGCAGCAGCAGTTCCGATATTCATATCGACAACGTGAACATTTTTTATTAACAGCAATTAGCTTTAACCAAATTGCCTGGAAATTGTAGTGCATGTTGTTTATTTTTATATGTTGCTTCAACTCTTAAACTCGAATCGATTGAAAGTCGATGCAATGGGGCATATTAGCTTGCGGCTACACTACACTATCAAGAGCGTTCATAGAGTTGGCCCATTGAGCTTCGTCTCTTTCTTTTAGCTCATACTAAACATGAATAATTCCGTCTCTATGCTTTACGCCTTTCATATCGAGCCTTATACCAGAAGAAGTTAGTAAAGAATTGTAGTTTTTTTCTATAGAAATCTCGTTGACAGCTGTTTGCAGTTCGGCTGCAAGTCGGGTAGACTCGATTCGAGCACTTTTATTTGCTTTTGTTTTGTAGTTTCTTGCTTGTTTTATGTGGCGCAAAACTTGTGGTTGCCACATTGTGGCATGGGAAATTGCTCAGCAATGCGCCTGCATCTATGCATTCATGTGTACCCACTACACCCTAGACGGGTTTCTCAGTGTGTGGGTACTTTTGCTTTTTGCTTCCGTTCAATAGCTTTAAATGCTTCGAACTCGTTTGAACCCGCTTGGAGTAGTAAAGCCGCTGACAAATCGCGACGCGATGCCAAAGAGCGACAGCCACAGGTGATGGTTCAGCCCCCCCGCTGTGATTGTCTAATCAAAGTCGACTAAAAATTAAGTGGCTAAATTATGTCATGAAGCACACTCAGCACCATTATGGTTGTTGCTGTTAGCGTTTGCTCGTGCTGCGCTGTCTTTTGTTTGTCGCAGTGCAGGCAAAACAAAAACAAAATATACAAAAAGAAAAAGTAACAAAAAAACCAAAAAAAATTCGCACGCCACGCGCCTGATAAACGCAATTACCCCACAAGTAAGAGCTTAAATACACAAAGAGCGGACAGAAACAAGACATCAAGCTGTTTCCAAAATATTAGATATAAACATCTAAATAGCAGAAACTGTTTAAACGATATCTTTTCATGGCCATTAAGTTATGCAACTGCTAAGAGACTTAGTCTTAAATAGGCTTGCATCTCAGGCTCCTTAGTTTTGCCGTATAGAGTGAACTTACAGATATATGAAATAGTTAAGTTTAATAACAAATGTCATTAACTTTGTTTAATTGTCTTTCTCACTGAGTACTTTCTAG